TTTTGTTTGTTTGTTTATTTGATTGGTTTTTATTTATTTTTAATGTGATACTGGGGATGGAACTTAGTGCCTCACCATGCTAGGCAAGTGCTCTACTACTGAGCCACAACCCCAGCCCCTTCTTCTAGTTTTGAATTGTAAATTTTCAGAAGTTCAGATTGTGTGCTATAATATCTCATAAATTCCTTTCTTCCTCTAAGATATAACAGTGTCATACACCTCTTTTCCTTTTCTTGTCCCTGAAGAGCAAGTATTGCTCCTTTTATATCAGGGAGCTAAAATCTGTGCATGATATGGAATAGACTCAGTAAATATTTGTTGAACTGGTCATAATGATGGGCCATAAGCTATTCAACTTAGCCTAGCTGCCTAAGCAAATTTCTATCCCCTTAAGACTTCTAGAAAATTCTAGAAGTCTTTTAGGGTAAGATGTCATTCATTGAACAAAAAATGTATACTTGCTATGTGTTGGGTTTCTTTAGAAAGGCTCAGGTTTGCACTTCTGTAGGTTTAACATTTGGAAACCATTTATTACTCTTCTGTGTCTTGGGTATTGTGATGGGCCTAGGGGAGCCACTGAATAAGTAAAAGGAATATTTAGCTGGGTACAGCAGTGTACACCTGTAGTCCCAGCTACTCAGGAGGAATTTGAGACCAGCCTGAGCAACATAGAACGTGAGGCCCCATCTCAAGAGAAGAAAAAGGAAGGAACAAACAAAACATTTGGTGAGGTGGCGCGAGCCTTCAATCCTAGCGATTTGAGAGTCTGAAACAGGAGAATTGCAAGGTCGAGCCAGCCTCAGCAACTTAGCTATACCCTTTCTCAAAATAAAAATACAGAGCTGGGGGATGTAACTCAGTAGTAGAAAGAAGAAACAGACTGACTCTGTGTGTGTGTGTGTGTGTGTGACTGAGGATTTGACACAGGGCTTTGTATGTGCTAGACAAGTGCTCTAGCATTAAGCTACACCCCAGCCCCCAAAAAAGAAAAGGAAAAGAAAGAGAATAAAAGAGAAGCAAAGAAAAGCAGTCCTTTCCTATGAGGTACAATTTGATGGGGAGAAGCTGACAAAGTGAGGTGATGAGGGAGCAAGAACAAGGTTTTTTGCTTTTTTTTAAAATTTTTTTTATGGTGTTGGGGATTGAACCCAGGGCCTTGTTCATATAAGGCAAGCACTCTACCAACTGAGATATATCCCCAGCCCGTTTTTTTGTGTGTGTGTGTGTGTGTGTGTTTTTTTTTTTTTTTTTTTTGGTACCAGGGATTGTACCCTAGAGCACTTAACCACTGAGCCACATCCCAGCCTTTTTATTTTGAAACAGGGTCTCACTAGTTTGCTTACAACCTCACTAAGTTGCTGAGGCTGGCTTTGAACCTGTGATCCTCTTGTCTCAGCCTCCCAGGCCACGAAGATTACAGGTTTGTGTCACCATGCCTGGCAGGAACAGAAGTTTAAACCTAGACAAGGAGGTCACAGAAGACCTCCCCAAGAAAATGGTATTTTAAATAAGTCACAAAAATGCTAGCAGGGACTAGCCAAAAGGAAAGAAAAGGGAATTCTAGGTAGAGGAAATAAGTGGGAAGCTTCAGATGAAGAAAAAGAAAAAGGCATAACTGACAAACTGGAAAAATTTGATCTTAGGAACCTACTCTGAGAACTATGAGAAATGTTAGCAAGGTGGGCAGAGGACAAATTTAGAGAATTTTGTAAGCCAAATAAGGTGTTGTGCTTTATTCTAACAGCAACAGGAATACACTGAAGGATTTTTAAGTGGGAAAGTGGCCTCTGGCCTTTAGTAGGATTACTTTGACTGCTGTGTGGAGAATGAATTGGAGGAGACCAAGATAGAAATTAGGATAGAGAGAAGAAGCAGCTGGAAAAACCCAGGTAACAAGAGTGTGGTGCCCCAGATATGGTGGTGGCAGCACAGATGGAGAATGGGAGGATGATTAAAAGAGGGAGGTAGAATGGATAGGATTTGGTGGCTGATTGGATTTAGAGAAGAAAGAGAGGAGTCAAAAATAACTTCTTATTTTCTGGCTTATGAAAATGGGTGAAGGGAAGCACCACATACCAAGGCAGAAAATACAAAAGCAGGTTTGAGAAAGAGTATCAGTTCAGTTTAATGTGCCTATAAAATATTGTAGAGGCTGTTGAATACAGGAATATAGAATTCATGAAAAAAAAAAATGAGGAATTTTAACTAGGTCATATACAAGTGAAATTGATTGACCCATCATATATCATTGCCTAAGATGAGCAGGGCAATTTAGCAAGACTCTCAAAATTAAGAAGAAAGGGCTGGGCACATACTTCAGTGGTAAAACATTTGCCTAGCTAGCATGCATGAGCTCTGGGGTTCAATCTCCAGTACTGCAAAACAAACAAACAAATAAATAAATAAAGGTGGGGGTGATAAGACAGTGAGTGGTACAGTGTGTACAAACCAGATGGTAGGGGAATACAGAAAAGAAAAATGGTTTGACAATTAATTCATGGAGGATAGGCTTTGATTTGGGCCTTGAATAGAAAAGGAAATGAGGGACAAAGGGCTTAAAGCATAACAAGGACACAGAAATGTGAAAATGCATTAATATATTCAGAGTATTGTAAGTGGTTGGTATGGGTGAAGCTGAAGTTCTAGGGGTGTGATAGACCCAAATAAAACTGGAGAAGTATTTTGAGATCAATGAAGTAAACTTTTTTTGATGGGGGATGAGTTACTAGGCACTCGACCACTGAGCCACATCCCTAGCCCTATTTTGTATTTTATTAGAGACAGGTCTCACTGAGTTGCTTAGCACCTTGCTAAATTGCTGAGGCTAGGTTTGAACTTGCAGTCCTCCTACCTCAGCCTCCTGAGCCTCTGAGATTATAGGAATGAGCCCCTGTGCCTGGCTGTCCTGGTCATTTTCACATAGCCATATGTTTAAGTAAATACACAGCTCTTACTTGTGTTCTTGTAAGTGAATCTCTCTTTTCAATTGTGAAGACTAACAACTGCAGAATGTCCAGGTGTCTGTGTTTTTGTTAAGAATGGAACAGTACTTTGAGTTATTTTAGAATTAAAGAGCACATGATGCTGCATGTTGGTTTCTTCAGTAGCTCTGTAAGGGTGATATCAGCTGAGATCAGCTCCATTCTTTTTGAGGCAAAGAGGTATTAAGAAGTTCCTAGGGGCTGGGGATATAGATCAGTTGGTAGAGTGCTTGCCTTCCATGCACAAGGACCTGGGTTCAAACCCCAGCACCACAATAGTTAGATAGATAGGTAAGTAGATAGACAGATAGATGGTTAGATGGATAGGTAGATAGATTTTCTAGAAGTTCCAGAAGGTGGGTGTGTTGGTGTATGCCTGTAATCCCAGAGACTAGTGAGGCTGAGGCAGGAGTATCGCGAGTTCAAAGCCATCCTCAGCAAAAGCAAGGCACTAAGCAACTCAGATCCTGTCTCTAAATAAAATACAAAATAGAACTGGGAATGTGGTTCAGTAGTTGAGTGCCCTTGAGTTCAATCCCTGGTTACCTGCCCCCGCTCAAAACAAAACAAGGGCTGGGGCTCAGCGGTAGCACACTTGCCTGGCATGTGTGAGGTACTGGGTTTGATTCTCAGCACCACATATAAATAAATAAATAAATGTCTATAAACAAGTTTAAAAAAAAACATTAAAAAAAATTAAAACAACAACAAAAAAACAGAAGTTCTTAGAGAAGTTAACTTTTTTTTTAAGTTTATAGAGATTATATATTGAAATTCAACATTTATTATACAAGTACTCAACGCAAGTCATCTTCCCCTTCCCATACAACTCAGTTCAGTCAGTCAGCAGGTACAAAGTATTTTCAAAAGATGGAGAACTTGATGAGGTGTAATGGCTAGTCGCACAGAGAATAGATAGGACACCTACTTTCCAGGAGCTTACTGTTTAAGATGGAACTAGTATGCAATAAACCAGCTCTTCAGAATAAAAACCAAAAACCTTGAATTGTAGTGCTTGTGAGCTTCTGTGGTGTTTGTATTCCCAACATTGCTGATCTCAAACTACTGCCAACTTGAGATGTCACTACTCAGAGTTGAGACGAGAAACACATAGTTGGTTCTCAGGTGCTGGTAGAGCTGGTTGTAGCACATCAATCAGTGAATAACACATATTAAGAAAACCTGCAAGCGGAGTATGGTGGAACACATCTATAATTCCATTCATTGATTTGGTAGACTTGAGGCAGGAGAATAAAAGTTTAACAACTTAGTGAGAACCTCAGCAACTTAGCAAGACCTTGTCTCAAAATAAAAAGTAAAAACAAAAAAGGACTGGGAATGTAGCTCAGTGCCCTTTGGATTCAATCACCAGTATGAAAGAAAGAAAGAAGGGCTGGGGTTGTGGCTCAGAGGCAGAGTGCTTTCCTAGCATGTGAGAGGCACTGGGTTCCATCCTCAGCACCACATAAAAATAAAGGGGGCTGGGGTTGTGGCTCAGAGGCAGAGTGCTTGCCTAGCACACGTGAGGCACTGGGTTCAGTCCTCAGCACCACATAAAAGTAAAATAAAGGAATTGTGTCACCTACAACTAAAAAATATATTAAAAAAAATAAAGGTATTGTGTCTACCTACAACTAAAAAATATAAAGAAAAGAAAAAAAACCATACAGGGCTGGGAATGTAACTCAGTGGTAGAGAACTTGGCCTGTCATTCATGAGGTCCTGGATTTGGTCCTCGGCACCAAAAGGATGGAATGATGGGAGGGAAGGAAAAAAGGGAAAGGAAGGAAGAAAAAAGGGTGTGAGGAAGGAAGGAAGGAAATCTACAATAGCTAGTGCTGAGGCATTTCTGGAAAGATCAGAGTCCTGTCAGCTCCCTCCTATAATTCCCATCCTTTCCAGAGGACAATGATCTCCAGGGTGCTCTTGGAATTGGTAGTCATTATTTTGACATTTCTCTCCTATGGTTGCCATCTTTCAAACCAGATGAAGTAATTTGTGCTTCTTGTTTCCTAATAGAAGCCCCAGCTATCAGACTTCATGTGAAAGATGGCTAATGCAGAAGTGAGTGTCCCAGTGGGAGATGTGGTTGTGGTACCCACTGAAGGAAATGAAGGGGAGAACCCTGAAGACACTAAGACTCAAGTGATCTTGCAGTTACAACCTGTGCAACAAGGGTAAGTGGCTAGAAATTTGATATTCTGAAAATTTTGGGGAGGTTTAAAGGGTGGGAAAATTGTAACTTTATGGTTGTTTAGCCCAATGGAACATTCAACATCAGTCAGCTGGCTGAGTTTTCATAGTGATATGTATTGTGTTTTTTTGTGTGTGTGTGCTAGGGATTGAACCTACATGCAAGGCAAGCACTCTACCCGCTGATCTATATTCCTGGGCCCTATATTTGTCTTTTGTTGTTGCTGCTGGATATTGAACCTAGTACCTTGCATTTGACTGAGCTATTTCCCTAGTCCCTATATTTGTCATTTTAATATTATTATAAGAGTTATCTATTTCCTTGTATCCCTCTTTCCTCTCTGCTGAGAGATTTATAAGGATAAGTTATAGGGATCCCTCATCTTATATAGTAATAGTTTTTTTTTTTGTACTAGGAATTGAACCTAGGGCCTCATGCATACTAGGCAAGTGCTCTATCACTGAGCTATATTTATTCCAAGCACTCCCACCCTGCCCCCAGACAGGGTCTTACTAGGATGCCTTAAATTTGAGATCCTCCTGCCTCAGCCTTCCGAGTCACTGGATTACAGGCATGTGCCACTGCGCTTTGCACTATGTCTACACAACTTTTTTTTTTTGGTACTGGGGATTGAACTCAAGGGCACTCGATGACTGAGCCACATCCCCAGCCCTATTGTGTATGTTATTTAGAGACAGGGTCTCACTGAGTTGCTTAGCACCTTGCTGTTGCTGAGGTTGGCTTTGAATTTGTGATCCTCCTGTCTCAGCCTCCCAACCTGGTGGGATTATAGGCGTGTGCCATCGTGCCCACCTCAAAAGAGGTCTTAAAGGAAAATAAGAATTAGTACTGCACAGAGAAGGAGGGGTAATTCTTCTGTCTTGGAGAATGTATAGAAGATCCTTCATGGGATTAGCAGTGTTCCTGGGCAAATAATCCAGTCCTAATCTTTTTTTTTTTTTAATTGCCCCTTCTGCATCATACAGGTTTCTGCCAATCCTGTTCTAATCTAAGTAATGTACCTTGTCTTAAATATTTCAAATTTCAAATGTATAGGTTCATTGGTATACCTTTGTGATCCCAGTGATGAAGGAGGCTGAGGTAGAAAGAGGTCAAGTTCAAGGCCAGCCTGGGCAATTTAGCATGACTATCCCAAAATAAAACAGATAAAAAGGGATAGGGTTATAGCTCAGTGGTAGAGTGCTCTTGGGTTTAATCCCTGGTACTGCACAACAAAAAAAGTTCAAATATATATACAAATAAAGAAAACATTATAACGAACCCCCCAGCTTCATCAATACATGGTTGACTATTTCATGTCTTTATCATCCCACTTTTTTTTTTTTGGTACAAGGGACTGTACCCAGTGAGCCACATTCCTATCCCTTTTTTATATTTTATTTAGAGATGGGGGGTCTTTCTAAGTTGCTGGGGGTGGCTTTGAACTCATGATCCTCCTGCCTCAGCTTCCTGAGCTGGGATTATAGGCATGTGCCACTGTGTCCGGCTTTTTTATTTTTTTTTAAGTAAATCTAGATATTTGAATGTATCTTAAAAAAATAAGGATTCTTTTTTTTTTTTTTTTTTTTACTTTGGCAGTACTGGGTATTGAACCCAGGGGTGCTTTACCCATAAGCTACACCCCCAGTCCTTTCTATTTTTAATTTTGCCACAGGGTCTTGCTGAGTTACCTAGGCCGGCCTTTAATTTGTGATTCTCCTGCCTCAATTACAGACTTGCACCACCGTACCCACTTCTTGGCAGCTTTATTGTCTCATGCAGTCCTCATTTCTTCTATCTTTCTTAGAAAGTGTTCCAGTAGTCACTTGTCCTATCCTTATTAGAGACAGAAAAAAAAAAAAATCTATACTATTAGTCTTAGTTTTTCCTTTTTCTTTTCTTTTTTTTTGGTACTGGGAATTAAACATAGGGCCTTGCTTATGATAGGCAAGCACTATACCATTGAACTGCATCCCCTACCATTTTCATGTTTTTATTTTGAGAGGCTTTTGCTAAATTGCCCAGGCTGGCTTGGAACTTGTGATCCTCCTGCCTTAGCGCCTCCTAAATTGCGGGGATTATAGGCAATGCACCATGGTGCCTGGCTCATTTTTTTTTTTTAATTTAGTTGAATTCTACTTTTTATTTTCCTAATGATATTGCCTTTTTTGGAAATTCCGTGTTTCTAGATATGGGCTTTTTTTTTTTTTTTTTTTTGGTACTGGTGCTGGGAATTGAACCCAGGACCTTGTGCATGCAAGACAAGCACTCTACCAACTGAGCTATATCCCCAGCCCCTGGGCATCTTTTTTCTTGGCATTTTTTTGTTGTTTCTTTTTTTCATTATTTATTTTTTCACCTTACTGGTTTTAGATATAGTCATCTTTGTACAACATATATTTACTCCTTAAGCCACTGTTTACATTGAGCTTAGTATATGGACTAGCGAGTAAACATTTTGAGATACTACATTTTGACATGCCTACAACTGATGATATTCAGTTGATTTCTCTACTTGTGTTTTCTAATTATTTGAATATTTTATTGCATTTTAATCTTATTTTTAAGAAATGAAAGGGGAGCTGGGCAGTAGTGCATGCCTCTAATCCTAGCAACTCAGGAGTCTGAGGCAGGAGGATTGTACGTTCAAGACTGACCTCAGCAACTTAGTGAGACCTGTCTCAAAATAAAAAATAAAAATGATCAAGGGCTGGGTGCCATGCTACACACCTGTAATCCCAGTGGCTCGGGAGGCTGAGGCAGGAGGATCAAGATTTCAAAGCCAGCCCCAGCAAAAGTGAGGCGCTAAGCAACTCAGTGAGACCCTGTCTCTAAATAAAATACAAAATAGGACTGGGGATGTGACTCAGTGGTCAAATACCCCTCAGTTCAATCCCCAGTAACCCCTCCCCAAAAAGGACTGAGTTGTAGAGCACCCATGGAGTTTAATCCCTAGTACGGCAAAAAAAAAAGGTGGGGGGTGGTTTAAAAATATTGATACCAGTAGTGAGATGTAAAGAACTCATATGACATGAGATAAAGATGGATAGCATCAGGAGCCAGTGTTAAGCCACAATCACACTTAACCTGATTGGCCATGGGTTTATGTAGGAAGGAAAGAAATACTCAAGAATGTGTATAAGACTCTGAGAATATATTGGTGAAGATTATGTGTAAAGACAAAATAATAACAGATTTTATATAATTATTTTTAGATTTCAATATATAGAACTCCCCTTATGTTAATTTAGCTTTTTAAAAAATATGTATATATGTATACACATATATTTATGTATATATATGTATATATATTAGTTGTAGATGGACACAATACATTTACTTTATTATTTTTATATGGTGCTGAGGATCGAACCCAGTGCTTCATACATGCTAGGCAAGTGCTCCTCCACTGAGCTACAGCCCCAGCCCTCTATTTAGATTTTAAATATATGACATTTTAAACTTTTTCAGGTATTCATTGTATACATATTTGCAGAAATGCATTAATTAGCAAAAGTAGACTATTTCGTAGCAGTCTCCATATATGCATAGAACCTGACACATTGTATAAGATGATACTTTCATATTAACAGTAGGTTGGCTTTAAAGTATATACACTTTTTAAATTTAATTTAATTTTTTTGGTACTGGAGATTGAAGTCAGGGGCACTTTACCACTGGGCCACATCCCCAGCCCTATTTTGTGTTTTATTTAGAGACAGGATCTCACTGAGTTGCTTAGTGCCTCCCTAAATTTCGAGGCTGGCTTTGAACTCTCCTTCCTCCTGCCTAAGCCTCCCTAGCTGCTGGGATCACAAGTGGGCGCCACCACCTAGTGGTAGTTAACTTTTTCAACTAAAATCTCTTTTATAACATACTCAAAAAGTTTCCAGGGGAAGTTAAGGTACCAGGATTTTATCACCATTTTTGAATTTCCAGTTCACTTTGGATTGATTATCGAGTTTTAACATTGTGTGATTAGAGTTTTGTTTTTTTTGTGGAACTAGGGATTAAATCTAGAAGTGCTTTACCACTAAACTACATTCCCAGTCCTTTTTATTTTGAGACTGGATCTCACTAAATTGCTGAGGGTTTCACTAAGTTCCCCAGGCTGACCTTGAACTTTTGATCTTCCTGCCTCCATCTCCTGAGTCCCTGGGATTATAGGCATGAGCTACCATGCCCCAGGTAATCAGAGTTTTAATATTCCATAAATTTATTCAATGTACTGACTGACTTTAATTTTTTCTGTAGAAGAAATTCAGTCCAAATGTGGTAGGATAGTTCAATTTGAGGAGGAGCAGCCCTGTTTTTCCTTTCATGCTGTATCTCTTTCTAATAGGAAGTTTAGGGTCATAGACTGAGTGGGTAGCTCAGTGGAAGAGCACTTGCCTAGCATGTGCAGGACCCTAGGTGTAATCCCTAGCACCATAAACAAACAAGCAAATAAATAAAAGCAAATAAATAAACATTTTTAAAAGTTTAAAGTCAAAGAAGATGTATTAATTCTATCAGAACAATAGGGTACTCCTTAGTTTTTGAGATAGGACCTCACTAAGTTGTTGAGGGTCTCATAAATTGCTGAGGCTGGCCTTCAACTTGTGTTCCTCCTGCCTCAGCCTTCCAAGTTGTTGAGATTATAGGCTTGGGCCACTGCATCTGGCCTATTTATTTGTTTGTTTTTATTTATTTTTTCAGTGTTGGGGATCAAGACTAGGGCCTCAAACATGCTAGGCAAATGGTCTATGTCTGATCTGCATACCCATCTCATATTGAGATGAGTGTTTAAGAGTTTTCTAACTTAAAAAAGTAAAGTTCTTTTTCTTTTTCTCTTTGTTTTCTTTTCTTCCTCATACCAAGGATTTGAGACTTTATTTTTATTTATTTATTTATTTATTTATTTTTGGCGCTGGGGATTGAACTCAGGGGCACGTGACCACTGAGCCACATCCCCAGCCCTATTTTGTATTTTTTATTTAGAAGCAGGGTCTCACTGAGTTGCTTTGTGCCTTGCCCTTGCTGAGGCTGGCTTGAACTCCCAATCCTCCTGTCTCAGCCTCCCAAGCCACTGGGATTACAGTCATGCGCCATTGCACCTGGCTGAGGCTTTGTTTTAATAGTGCAGAGAATTGCTTTTGTTTGTTTTCTTTTCTTTTCTTTTTTGATACTGGGGATTTAACTCAGGGATATTCTACCATTGAACTACATCCCTAGCCTTTTTTATTTTTCGTTTTGAGATAGGGTTTCCCTAAGTTGCTTGTGGCCTCATTAAGTTGCTGAGGCTGGCCACAAACTTTAGATCCTCCTGCCTCAACCTCCCGAGTTTCTGGGATTATAGGCATGTGCCACCATGCCCAGCTTGGAAGTTATTTTAGACATAATAAATTCAACAAAATCCTGTGGGAGATCCAAATGTATGTATTTACTTAGCAGTTATCTGTTTCCTGGTTTGAAATTCAAAAGGGAAGTCTGTACTATAGGTGTCACCATGGAGTTGGATAGTCATCTTTGTAAAGATTGCTCAGGCAGGGCTGGGGTTGTAGCTCAGTAGTAAAGCACATGGCTTATGCATGAGGCACTGGGAATCCTTAGCACCACATAAAAATAAATAAATAAAATAGAGATATTATGTCTATCTACAACTAAATAAATATTTTAAAAATAAATAAATAAAGATTACTCAGGCAGTGCTTTCAAATAACAAAGTGTAAGAATCAATGCATCAGGTTTATTATAGAAATTAAGCAAACACATGACGGTAAATCATGTTAGATTATCTGAGCCCATGAATGTGGAGACATTTTAGGTTGGTCTGTATTACATAACCGTCCATTAAGTGGTGCCTCTAGTTACTAGTAGTTAATTTGGGCATAGTTTTTTTTTTTTTAATATTTATTTTGTTATTGTTGTTATAGTTGGACACAGTATCTTTATTTTATTTTTATGTGGTGCTGAGAATCGAACCTAAGGCCTCACACGTGCTAGGTGAATGCTCTATTGCTGAGCCACAATCGCAGCCTGGGCATAGTTTTTTTTTTTTTTTAATCTTACTTTTTTTCATTTTTTTTGTTTATGTTAATAATTTGGTTATGATGCCTTAAAAGATGCTAAAGTGCAGGAATGGGAATGTAGCTCAGTGGTAGAGCACTTGCCTAACATGTGAAGTCCTGGGTTCAATCCCAGCACCCCTAATACACACACAGTGCTAAATTACTAAAAAAAAAAAAGCTAAAATATCTAGATTTCAACAAAATACATCAATTTCTGTGGTCAACATGGTTCTTCCTGTCTTGAATTATTTATATTCTTCTCAGGTTAATTCTATGATTTCGTCCTGTATTTGAAGCAAAACTTAAAAAAAAATTTTTTTTAATTAAAAAAAAAAACTATGTCATGAGCATTTACAGTGATGTGATACAGGGAAAAGGCTGGTGAAATAAAATAGCAAGTGGAGTATACTAGCAAGAATTACTTTCCTTTGAAGTGAGGAAAGTTGTTGCTGACTTATTTCCATGGTAGTAGCTAAGCACTCCTGCGCAGCTTGAAGTTTAAATACAATGGGAAACTAGTCAAAGTACTAACATAGAATTGTTAAGTATATTTATTTTATTCCTTTTGAGATAGAGTAAAAACAAATTTCTTAACCCCATGCTGTGAATATTAATTTTTTCATGATTTATGTAGTTTGTTTATCGATGGACACTTTTACAACAGGATTTATGAAGCTGGGTCGGAGAACAACACGGCAGTTGTAGCAGTAGAAACTCACACAATACACAAAATTGAAGAAGGAATTGGTAAGTCTTTGTTTTTCTAGTACTTTTGACCTTTGCTTCCTTGGTTGAGCTGTTTTGCCTTTGTGTGTGTGTGTGTGTGTGTGTGTGTTGGGGGTCAAACCCAGAGATAGCTTCACCTGTGCTAGGCAGATACTCATTAAGCTACATTGCCAGCCTGAGATACCTTGCCTACCATGCCTTATGTTTTCCTTACACCTAGTGTGCCTACCAATACTGGAGCCATCAATTTGATGGAAGCATATTTAGAGACTAAGACCTACTGACTAAGATGTCAGGGCTGGCAGATGATTATTTAATATCAGTATGCTAGGGTAAATGAAAGATTATTCATCTATAAAAATCCCACAAAGATAGACGCTTGTCTAGCAAACCCCAGGCCCTGGTTCATTTCCTACTACCATCCAAAAAAAAAAATTCGCACAAAGGAACAGAGTCTCAAGTTGATACATGTCGTTAGAGAAATTGCGGATAAGGATTGATGAGGTGTTGACTCAAAGGCTGTCAGGAGAAAGAAACTGGAAAGAAATTTTGAAATTAAGCAAACTTAAGTTTGAATCCTATTTTCTCACTTTTTTTTTTGGTGGTATCAGGGATTAAAGCCAGGGCCTTGCACATGTTAGACAAGTGTTCTACCTCTACTACTCATCTATGCTGCAAGCCTTTTTATTTTTTTTTGGTATTCGGGATTGAACTCAAGGGCACTTGACCACTGATCCATGTCCCAGCCTTATTTTGTATTTTATTTAGAAACAGGGTCTCACTGAGTTGCTTAGTGCCTTGCATTTGCTAAGGCTGGCTTTCAACTTATGATCCTCCTGCCTCAGCCTCCCGAGGTGCTGGGATTACAGGCTTGAGCCACCATGCCTGGCTCCAGCAGCCTTTCTTATTTTATTTTGAGGCAGAGTCTCACTAAGTTGGCCAGGCTGGCCTTGAATTTGTGATTCTCCTGTCTCAGTCTCCTGAGTAACTAGGATTACAAAGAGCCACTGTCTAGTACTACTTTGTCACTTTTTAGCTGTGTGTCCTTAGAAAGTCACTGATTTTTCTGAGGCCCATAAACTTATATGAAAAACATAGCAAATAATTACTGCTTCACATGATTTTATAAGAGCTAAATAATACTAAGCATGTAAAGCAAATACAGGGTATTGTGGCACATGCCTATAGTCCCAGCAGTTTGGGAGGCTGAGGCAAGAGGATCACAAGTTAGAGGCCAGCTTCAGCATCTCAGCAAGCAACTTAGTGTGACCCTATTTAAAAATTTAAATAAAAGGATTGAGGATATAGCTCAGTGATAGATTATCCATGTATTTAATCCCTAGTGCTGCAAAACAAAACAAACCAACCAACAAACAATACACATATATGTTAGAGTGTCTAGCACATAGTAGAAGATAGCTATTATGCCAAACTTCTTCTGGAGGATTCCTAAACAATACTAGCAAGAATGAAGTATTAGTTCCTTAGGGAAAGTAGGAAACTAGTAATTTGGAATTTAAAATTTGGTGAAGGACTGGAGATACAGCTCAGTTAGTAAAGTGCTTGCCTTGCCATGTACAAGGCCCTGGGTTCAATCCCCAGCACCACAATAAAATAAAATAAAATAAAATTTGGTAAAGACTTGTTTATTAGGGCTGGGGATGTGGCTCAAGCGGTAGCGTGCTCGCCTGCCATGCGTGCGGCCCGGGTTCGATCCTCAGCACCACATACAAACAAAGATGTTGTGTCCGCCGAAAACTAAAAAATAAATTAAAAAAAAAAAAAAAATTTATTAAATAACTGACTTTTTTTCCATTTTCAGATGCAAGCACTATAGAAGCAAATGAGGATATGGAAATTGCTTACCCCATAACTTGTGGAGAGAGCAAAGCCATTCTCCTCTGGAAGAAGTTTGTATGTCCAGGAATAAATGTGAAATGTGTTAAGGTAATTGTCTTCTTGCTGAGATGTTTCAGGACTTTTCCTTTTCAAAGGGTGTTGTGATTTCAGTGCCTCCTCTCTCTCTTCCACCAAATCTTTTTTTTTTTTTTTTTTTTTTTTTTTACTTTTTCTGCAGTTTTGAGGATGCAACCCATGGCCTTGAACATGCTAGGCAAGCTCTACCACTAAGCTACACTCCCAGCTCCTAATCAGTGTTTTTGATTTTATAGCTGTTGTTCTATCATTTCACAGTAGAAAAAATAAGGGTTGACCTGTATTTAAGTCCTATTGGAATATAAGTCCTATGAGAGTAGAAGACTTACCTGTTTTGTTCACTACTATAAATCCAACCTTTAAAATGTTCCTTTTTTTTTTTTCTTCCTTTTTGGATCTGGGGATCAAACCTAGGGCCTTATGCATGATAAGCATACAACTACCACTAAGCTATATGCCTAGCTTGAATGGTCCATGATGTATAATAGATAATCAATAAATATTTGTTCAATGAATGACTAACTGGATGACCTTGACCAAGTTTTTTTTTTAATTATTGATTGACCTTTATTTTATTCATTTATTTGTATGTAGTGCTGAGAATCGAACCTAGTACCTCACACATAATAGGCAAGTGCTCTACCTCTGAGCCACAACCCCAGCCTTTGACCAAGTTTTTTAATATTTCAGAGCCTCATCCTAAAATCGAAATAATCATATGTGTGTGTGTGTGTGTGTATGTATGTATATATACACACACGTATATATGTATTTTTACACATATCAATATCTATAATGCAAAACTGCTAGATTAAATCAGATAATATATGTAAATGCCTTGTACTAGTATGTATTGTGGAAGAGTTTATTCAAAATTATTATTTATAAAAATAATCTTTACAAGAGCATAATGTGAACAGAATTGTTCATTCTGTCTGCCACCAATAAAGACAGAATGAACAATTCTGTTCACATTATGCTCTTGATTGGTGGCTACATCAGTATCACAATGGCATCATCCTAGATTAATTAGGATTACAGAATTTCAAGGCTCTGCAGTGCTGTTGTTTTCTACCACACTTGTTCTTTCCACCATCCTGAATCTTGACCTTTAGGCTGGATAGATTATTTCAGTTAATTTCCTCAGCCTTTCCAACACTAGAACAAACTTCTGAATTCAAAGTATAAGTTGATAGTAGATACTAATCAATTCATTTTCTATCTGGGCATTGTTTTGTACGTAGCAAATAGAGTTATCATTTCATTCTTTTCCCTCTTGACTTACCTAAGTTGACATTGAACTGCTTTGGACTTTTTTTTTTTTTAACTTTAGTTCAATGATCAGTTGATCAGCCCCAAGCATTTTGTTCATCTGGCTGGCAAGTCCACTCTGAAGGACTGGAAGAGAGCCATTCGTCTGGGTGGAATCATGCTTAGGTAAGGTCTAGCACACACCTTTCAACAAACTTTGGGGCACTTAATTGTGGTAGGTCTTTTTCTCTTTACTTTGAGGTTTGTATTCTGTCTGAAGGATTGGCTTGAACATTCCATGCATTATTTGTTCTTTGTCAATTTGTTGTGTTTTTGGGGGTGCTGAGGATTGAACTCAGGGGCACTTTACTACTGAACTACATTTTCAGGCCTTCTTTTTAATATTTTTTTAGTTGTTGTTGGACCTTTATTTTATTTATTTATATGCAGTGCTGAGAATAGAACCCACATGTGTTAGGCAAGGGTTCTACCACTGAGCTACAACTCACTCCCAACACCTTCTTATTTTTTATTTTGAGACAGGGTCTTTTTTTTTTTTTTAATTTTTTAGTTTTCAGTGGACACACATCTTTTTATTTTATTTTTATGTGGTGTTAAGGATCGAACCCAGCGCCCCGCGCATGCCAGGCAAGCACTTTACCGCTTGAGCCACATCCCCAGCCCTTGAGACAGGGTCTTGCTAAATTGCTTAGGGCCTCACTAAATTGATAACACTGGCCTTGAACTTGTGATACTTCTGCCTCAGCCTCCTGAGTCACTGGGATTACAGGCATTGGATACCATGTCCAGCTCATCAAGTTGTTCTTTTTTTTTTTTTTTTTTTTTGCTGTTGAACCCAGGAGCACTTAACCACTGAGTTACATCTCCAGCCCTTTTTTAAGTTTTATTTAGAGACAGGATCTTGCTGAGTTGCTTAAAGCCTCACCAAGTTGCTGAGACAAGCTTTTAACTATCAATCCTCCTGTATCAGCCTCCCAGACTATTGGGATTATAGGCCTGCAACTGTGCCTGGCTATCAAGTTGTTCTTAATCCTTTTTCTTTTCTTCTTCTTTTTTTTTTTTTTTTGAAGTGCTGGGCTCAAACCAGATCCTCATGCTTGCCAGGCAAGCCCTCTATCACTGACCTACTCTCTCAGCCCCCAACTTGTTCTTAAAATCTCTGAGAGAGTCAGGCATAGTGGCATACACCTGTAATCCTAGAGTTTTAGGAGGCTGAGGCAGAAGGATCACAAGTTTGAGGCCAGCCTGGGCAACTTAGTGAGACCCTATCTCAAAATAAAATAAAAAGGGGTGGGAATGTATTTCAGTGGTAGAGTGTCCCTGAGTTCAATCCTCAGTGTTACCAAAAAAAGAAAAAAAAAGTTGGATAGATCAGATACTCTCTTGGCAGAGAAGCTCTGAGTAGATGACAGTCCTGTTTGAATCCACCAAACAGAGAAGTCAAAGAGCAAGTGAAACAACCATGCAGCAGTGTAGGCTGTTCGACAAATTCTGGGATAATATGGTGAAGTAGAAGGGTGCTTGAGCATTAACAGTTACACACAACAAATGCAATCCTCACCATCGCTGTACCCCAGAAATAAACATCAGAATGTGTAATATTCTGCACTCTCACCCCTTTTTTTGTAAAAAGTTTACCATTGTAGTTTTTCCCTCTTGAATATTAGCATTAGTTGGTATTCCTGGAACATTAATCTGCTGATAAAAAAATTTTAAATGTCAAGAATTACAAGTTATCTATAGAACATGTATCAAGAGCCTTGAAAATATCTTATCCTTTGTCTTTTTAATTATTTTTAGAGAAATCTATCCTAAGGAAAATCTGTAATCTTTGTAGAGATTTAAGCATAAATGTTTTTATTGTAACATTTTTATGGTAAAAATTATAGTCTGCTTTAATATATAGTCAAGGGACTTCTAAAGTAAATTATGACTTGTCAGAAATCTGTATGAGTGTATATTATGGATTGTTTTTCAGTCATTAAAATATATTTGAAGAGTTTCACATGGAAAAATGCTTATGAAGTAATGTGAAAAAGACAAATATAAAACTGACTAAATAGGATATGGGGTGTAGCCCAGTGGTAGAGCACTTGCCTAGCATACATGAGGTCCTAGGTTCTATACCCAGCATTGCAAATACTTTTTTTTAATTAAGGATAGGGAAAATTGCCAGGCACGGTGGTGTACGCCTCTAATCCCAGCAGCTCAGGAGGCTAAGACAGGTGGATTTTGAGTTCAAAGTCAGTCTCAGCAAAAGTGAATTGCTAAGCAACTCAGTGAGACCCTTTCTCTAAATAAAATACAAAAATAGGGCTGGGGGTGCTGGAGTTGTGGATCAGCACTAGAGCACTCACCTCGAATGTGCAAAGCCCTGGGTTCTATCCTCAATATCACATAAAAATAAATAAAATAAAGGTATTGTGTCCAAATACAACTAAAAAATAAATATTTAAAAAAAATAGGGCTGGGGATGTGGCTCAGTGGTCAAGTGCCCCTGAGTTCAATCTCCAGTACCCCTCCCCCCCCAAAAAAAAAGAGAAAAGATTAAATATGTGACTTATCAATGTTAAAACACATACACAGGGGCTGAGGCTGTTGCTCAGTGGTAGAGCGCTTGCCTAGCATGTGTGAGGCACTGTATTCAATATCCAGCACCACATTAAAAATCAATCAATCAATCAATCAATCAATAAAGGTGTTATTAAAAAAAAAAAATACACTGAGCTGTGGAGTTAAGTGGTAGAGTGCTTGCCTGGCATGCACAAGGGCTTGGATTCAATCCCCAGCACTGCAAAAACAAAAGCAAATAATAATAATAATAATACCCCCACATATTTACATACAAATAAGTAAAACTTAGTGGCAGAAAATATGTGGAAATACTGGGGAGTGATATTGGCCAGGTACTATGGCATATGCCTGTTATCTCACCAACTCAGGAGCCTGAGGCAGGAGAATTACCAGCTCAAGGCCAGCCTCAGCAAGTTAGCAAATCCCTGTCTCCAAATAAATAAAAAGGACCTATGATGTAGCTCAGTCATAAAGTACCCCTGGGTTCAATTCCCAGGACCAACCAAAAGAAAAGAAGAAAATACGCTAAAAATGTTGACATTGTCTGTTTATGAATTTAACCCAGGGGTACATTATCACTGAGCCACATCCCTCCCCCTTTTATTTAATTTTATTTATTTATTTATTTTTTGGTATTGGGGATTGAACTCAGGGGCACTCAGCCACTGAGCCATATCCCCAGCCCTACTTTGTATTTTATTTAGAGACTCACAGAGTTGCTTAGTGCCTCCCTTTTGCTGAGTCTGGCTTTGAACTCATGATCCTCCTGCCTCAGTCTCCTGATCCTCTTGGATTACTTATTATTTTTTTTTTTTTTTTTTTTTTTTTTAAATATTTATTTATTTTTTTAGTTCTCGGTGGACACAACATCTTTGTTTGTATGTGGTGCTGAGGATCGAACCCGGGCCGCACGCATGACAGGCGAGCGCGCTACCGCTTGAGCCACATCCCCAGCCCTACTTATTATTTTTGAGACAGGATCTTACTAAGTTGCTTGGAGCCTTACTAAATTACTGAAGCTGGCTTCGAACTTGCAATCTTCCTGTGTAGTATTTTTTTAAAAAAAGGCAAGTCATTTTCTTTATAGTTTTCTATATTTTCCATGGAAAATATTAATTTTTTTTCCTTTGTGTTGCTGGGGATTAAACCCAGGGCTATGTGCATGCTAGGCAACTGCTCTATTTCAGAGCTACACTCCCAGCTCATATATGTTCTTCATATATTATTTTTATATTCAGAAATACATAATCATTTTTTAAAAATTAATTCCAGGGAGCTGGAGTTGTGGCTCAGCAGTAGAGTACTCACCTAGCATGTCTGAGGCCCTGGGTTCGATCCTTAGCACCACACAAAAATAAATAAATAAAATGAAGCTATTGTGTCCAACTACAACTAAAAAATAAATATTAAAAAAAAAAAGTTAATTCCAGGCATAAGCCAAACTCAGAAGGTCAAGGGTCATATGTTTTCTCTCGTGTGGAGGCTAAAGAGGAAAAAGGTGGAAGGCAGGGTTCTCAAGAAATCAAAGAGAGGGCTGGGGCTGTAGCTCAGTGGCAGAGCGCTTGCCTAGCACATGTGAGGCACTGGGTTTGATCCTTGGCACCACATAAAAATAAATAAATAAAGATTTTGTGTCCATCTACAACTAAAAAAAAAAAAAATCAAAGAGGGCTGGGGTTGTGGCTCAGCAGTAAAGCGTGTGCCTAGCACATGGTGAGGCCCTGGGTTCGATCTTTAGCACCACATAAAAGTAAATAAATAAATAAATAAAGGTATTGTGTCCAACTACAACTAAAAAATAAAAATATTTTTAAAAAAATCAAAGAGATCAGTAAGGAAAGGATTCAGAGGATGAAAGAAGGGGAGGAAGGAGTGAAGTACCAGGAAGTGATATTGGCCAAATTATATTTTTATATTGTGTGCATGTATGAATATGTAACAATAAATTCTGCCTTTATGTAAAACTATAATATACCAATAAAAAAATGTTGAAAGAGCCTGTAATTCCAGCGGTTCAGGAGGCCAACTTTGATCGCAAGTTCAAAGCCAGCCTCAGCCAAAAAGCGAGGCACTGTGCAACTCAGTGAGACCCTGTTTCTAAATACAAAATAGGGCTGGGGATGTGGCTCAGTGGCTGAGTGCCCCTGAGCTCAATCCCTGGTACCCAATAAAAAAAAGGTCTGGGGATATAGCTCAGTGGTAAATCCCCCCTGGATTTAATCCCGAGTAACCCCCACCCCACACACACAAAAAAAAAAAAAAAAAAAGAAGAAGAAGAAGAAGAAAAAGAGAAAGCCAAGTGACATTCTACCATAGAGTTTACTAAAATTAAAATACCCTATGGTTTTTGCTCATGGCCTATAATAACAATGTCTGTGGATACAGTTATAAGGACATTCTCCAGAGAGTGTTTAGCATAATCAACTTTACTCTTTATTTATTTCTAGGAGAGTTGTTGTCAATTTTTTTTTAATTTGATTTATTTTTTTTTTCACAGTGCTGAGGACCAAACCCAGGGCTTCACACGTAGTAGGCAAGCATTCTACCACTGAGCTACATCTCCAGCCCCTATTTTTTTCTTTTTGGTACTGGGTATTAAACTCAAGGGCACTTGACCACTGAGCCATATCCCCAGCCCTATTTTGTGTTTTATTTAGAGACAGAGTCTCATTGAGTCACTTAGCACCTCACCATTGCTAAGACAGGCTTTGAACTCCCCATCCTCCTGCCTCAGCCTCCCAAGCCACTTGGATTACAGGATTGTGCCACTCCCCGCAGTTCTTTTTCCCTTTTTTTAATGAAAGAAGTTTACCGAAACTTTATATCTCTAAAAGTAGTAACACATTTTTCTAGTCTAGGATTACTAATACGTCAGAATCTCATCCAAAAATTCAGATATCCCTGAGGCATTTCTCAGTTGTGCTGAGATTTGAAATAGTATTTTCCCTTTTCAGATTTGGTTTCAGTGACATTCTTAGTATATACCTGAGCTTAGTGATTATAGCACATAGAAGAGAGTATTCAAAATGAGTAAACTCAGAAGAAAGGTGCTGATAAATATGGGCAGGCTCAATGAAAAATTTGTAGTCCCAATTAGAATTTTTGCAACCTAATGATTTCTAATACTGTTAGGTTTTGTTAATTTACTTAGTGGGCTAAGCAGTGTTGTCTCTATTTGTCCCTAAGGCCCAGGTTTTTGTTTTGTTTTTGTTTTTTTGATACTGGGGATTAAACTCAGGGGCACTTGGGGCCCTTGACCACTGAGCCCCAGAGCCCCAGAGCCACTGAGCCCCACAGCCACTGAGCCCCACAGCCACAGAGCTACAGAGCCACAGAGCCACAGACAGGGTCTCCCTGAGTTGCTTAGTGCCTCGCCATTGCTGAGGCTGGCTTTGAACTCATGATCCTCCTGCCTTATCCCTCTGAGCTGCTGGGATTAAAGGCATGCGCCACCATACCTGGCCAGTTTTTCTCTTTTAAATGAAGTGCAGGCTAAACTGGTACTTATTTCTCTTTCCACAGGAAAATGATGGACTCTGGACAGATTGATTTTTACCAACATGATAAAGTTTGCTCCAATACCTGCAGAAGCACCAAATTTGATCTTCTGATTAGCAGTGCAAGAGCTCCAGTGCCAGGACAGCAGACAAGTGTGGTGCAGACACCCACTTCGGCCGATGGTAGGGGGTAGGAAACCACCTGAAAACCCGCTGTGTTTTTCAGCAGTACTTTCCCCCTCTTTTCTCCTTTGTGTTTCTTAATTTCAATTCTTGTGAGCATTGATATGCTTTGTGCTAAGGTATGGTAATCTTGGATGGGATTCTATGTCTTGGAAACAGATCTCTTTTTTTCCCTCTAAATAATTCTTATTGGCCAGATCTTCTTCCTTGTTTCTTCTTAGAATGCATGGTAAGCATTAGAAAGATGGTTCAATAGTTAACACTTATGCAGTGGTTTCACTTTGGTGACTCTGGGCATATCAAGGATGAAATTAGACTGTTCTGAAAATCCTTTGCACTATTAGAGGTGAAGACAGCAGGGTAGATTAGAATGATGAATAGTTTTCAACTGTTGAACTGAGATTTATCAGTGTGTCATTGACTGGGCTGGACTATGAAGAGCCTGCCATAAGTCTCAGAGAGCTCTGCCTGGGTGGGCTCCAGATTACCAACATGAGGCTTCCTCACAGATGAATGGGATGGGCACACACTTCAGTCTTTTCGAATTTGGACTTAAGGCTCCTCGCCATCCAGCAAAGATATAACTTTATGGGAAAGATTATTCAAAAGGATTTAATCAGCCCAACTGGAGACTTAGCCATAGTTGAATAAAATCTGTCTCAACTACTATCATAAACTTATAGATATGCCTGATAATAATCACAAGAATGCTCAAGGATCTAAAAGGTTAGGGAAGTACTGTTTTTGAAAAATGATCTCTTGGGCTGGGATGTGGCTCAAGCGGTAGCGTGCTCGCCTGGCATGTGTGCGGCCAGGGTTCGATCCTCAGCACCACATACAAACAAAGATGTTGTGTCCACCGAAAACTAAAAACTAAAAAAATTCTCTCTCTCTCTTAAAAAAAAAAAAAATTATATATATATATATATATATATATTTGGGTTGGTTCACATTTACCATTCCTTTTATGTATTTAAAAAAAAAAAAGAAAAATGATCTCTTTACTTTTAGTTTTGGCCAGCCCTAATATTCTATGAGTAAACACTGGGAAAGTAGAAGACAAATCTCTTGGAACCTAAATTCCCTTCAAAAAAATATAAAATATCTAGCAGTTTGTATTTTTGCACACGTGACTCACTTGAAAAGCAAAAAATGCTTTGAAATGTTTTCCTTTTATTTGGCCCAAACTCCTTTACTTCTTTATCCATATTAACATTATTCTTTTGTTTGATTTTTGATATCCTCCAGTGTGTATAGTCCACACTTGTCTATATTGCTTGCTAGATTAATTTGATTTTTCTCCGTTCTCTTTGTTTTAAAGCAATTTATAGCTGGTATTTTGTTCTTCTCTATCAATCTGTTGTTCATGGATCTCTCTCTCTCTCTCTCTCTCTCTCTCTCTCTCTTTATTTTTTTATTGGTACTGGAAGTTGAACCCAGGGATATTTTACCACTGAGTTAGATTCCTTAGCCCTTTTTATTTTTTGAGACAGAATCTCTCTTAAATTCTTAGGGCCTCACTTAATTGCAGAGGATGGCCTCAAATTTGGCAATCTTGCTTTAACTTCCCAAGTCACTAAAATTACAGGCATGTACCACTGCACCCGGTGGATCTCTTACCTGATTTCTTGAGTCTCCATTTCTCTTGCCTCTTTTTCACAGGCTGATATAGGTAAGCAATAATAAACTTAGATATTCTAAATGCTTAGTATCAAATGTGTTTGTAGGCAAAGCTTCCTACTTTTACATAATTTAAGGTTCTCCTCATCCAATTAAGTGGGTAGCCTGGTGATCATGCTTATATTCAGTCTCTTTCAAAAGCAGATTGCCCTTTTGTGATTTTATTTTTTCATTTTATTACTATTATTATTATTATTTTGATACCGGGGATTGAACCCAGGGGCACTTAACCACTGAACCACATCCCCAGCCCTTTTTTATATTTTGTTTAGAGGTAGGGTCTTGCTAAGTTACTTAGGGCCTCACTAAGTTGCTGAGGCTGGATTTGAATTTATAATTCTCCTGAGCCACTGTGATTACAGGTGTGCACCACTGTTCCCAGCTTCCTTTCATGATTTTGTAAGTTATCTGCCTATCTTTCCCTCCTACCCCATTCTTTTTTCTTTTCTTTTTCTGTGCTGGGGAATGAACCTAGGGCTTCACACCTGCTAGTGCTAGGCAAGTGCTCTGCAATTGAGCTACATTCCTAGCAATCTTTCCCTTTGTATTCAGAGTAAAAAAGCCTTTCTTTTGCAGGGCAGGTTTTATTTAGAAAATCCAATAATCATCCTAGCTTGCTTAAGAGTCTAGTTCTTTTTTTTTTTTTTTTTTTAGTACTGGGAGTTGAACTTGGGGGCATTTGGCTACTGAACCACATCTCTAGCCAAATTTTGTTATTTTATGTAGAGACAGGGTCTCACTGGATTGCTTAGTGCCTCACTTTTTTTTTTTTTAATATTTATTTATTTACTTTAGTTTTAGGTAGACACAATATCTTCATTTTATTTTTATGTGGTGCTGAGGATCGAACCCAGTGCCTCACGCATGCTAGGCGAATGCTCTACCTCTGAGCCACAACCCCAGCCCAGTGCCCCACTTTTTTGCTGAGGCTGCCTCAGCTTCCCCAGCTGCTGGGATTACAGGCGTACACCACTATGCTCAGCTAGGAGTCTAGTTCTTAAAGCATGGACCTGCAGGCAAGAAGTGAGCATGTTTGTTTGTTTGTTTGTTTATTTAATACCAGGGATTGAACCCTTGGGTGTTTAACCAATAAGCCACATCCCCAGCCCTTTTTTTTTTTTTTTGTACTGGTGATTGAACTCGGGGGCACTAGACCACTGAGCCACATCCCCAGCCCTAATTGTGTATTTTATTTAGAGACAGGATCTCACTGAGTTGCTTAGCGCCTTGCTAAATTGTTGAGGCAATTGTGATGATGAGGCAATTGTGTTGAGGAACTTGTGATCCTCTTGCCTTAGCCTCCCAAGCCACTGGGTTTATAGGTGTGTGCCACTGCGCCCGGCCTTATGTTTTATTTTGAGACAGGGCCTCGCTCAGTTGCTTAGGTTCTTGCTAAGTTGCTGAGATTGGCTTTGAACCTGCTATCCCCCTGCCTCAGGCTCCTGATTCAGCATATACCACCTCACCTGACAAAGCGAGCATGTTAAAATAACATGGGCTGTGTGTCTGTATAAGATAGAAGGTAGCTATAGCTTTTGCATAAAATTCACTGGCCTCACATGTAATGGACTTCTTTTAGGTAGCATCACACAGATTGCCATCTCAGAAGAGAGCATGGAAGAGGCAGGACTGGAATGGAACTCGGCTCTCACTGCTGCTGTCACCATGGCCACAGAGGAGGGTGTGAAAAAAGACTCTGAGGAAATTTCAGGTACTTTTCCAATTCTTGTATGGGGTTTTTGTTTGTTTGTTTTTTATTTTATTTTATTTTTTTGCTACTGGGAATTAAACCCAAGGGAGCTTAATCACTGAGCTACACTCCAGCACCTTTTATTTTTTATTTTGAGACTATATCTCACTCAATTGCTTAGGGCCTCGCTAAATTACTGAGGCTGGTCTTGAACTTGTGATCATCCTGCCTCAGCCTCCCAAGTTGTTAGGATTATAGGCATGCACCACCATGCTAGTATCCTGTAGGTTTTTATGACCCTTACCATCACTATGATTATGGACAAAGAAGGCTTTTTAATATGAATAATACTAACCATAGTTAAACATCTTATTTTAATCCATGAAGTTGCCCTTCAGAGTCACATTTTACACATGAAGATTTGGAAAGGTTCAGCAGCTTGCCTAAGATGAGCCACACAACCAATAGGTGTCAGAGCTGAAATCAGCTGTTTGACTCTGTGTTCTATATTTTCCCTCCTATCAAATTGCCCCCAACTTTGGCACATTTCTTCAAACTTCAGGATGTCCAGAGGAATCAGTGGCACATGCCTGTAATCCCAGCAGTTTGAGGCAGGAGGATTGCAAGTTCAAAGCCAGCCTCAGCAATTTATCGAGGCCCTAAGTAACTCAGTGAGACCCTTTCTCCAAATAAAATAAAATTTAAAAATGGGGTGGGGTGGGGCTGGGGATATTGCTCAATGGTTAAGTGCCCCTGGTTCAATCTCCGATACAAAAAAAAAAGGATGTCTGAAGGCAAAATTAGATAGTGGGTGGTGCAGAGGATGGGGATTAATGATTTACTTAGAGGGGATCAGAGAGGCTTAATATCATTCTTCATTTATTAATTCATCTAATAAACATTTAATTGGTAATTATGTTGCAAGATTCTAGGTGCATAAATGAAAAGACATGGCAACCTCCCTCAGGGAACTTTTTTTTTTTTAAATATGTTTTTAGTTGTAGATGAACTCAATACCTTTATTTTATGTGGTGCTGAGAATTGAACCCAGTGCCTCACACGTGCTAGGCAAGCGCTCTACCACTGAGCCCACAACCCCAGGCCCCCCGGGGAGCTTATAGTGATATCTATCCAATAAGGGAGAGTATATCTTTTAATTAATATTTAGTTTAATATCTTTATTATTTTAACTTAATAATATTAAATATTATCCAACTTAAAATTAAATTTGAATGTAATTAATACTTAATAATAAATATTTAATGTTTAATATTTCGCTTGCTATCTATTAGAAGAAAATATCTTTTTCTTTTTTGTTTTTTAATTTTTTAATTTATTTAATTATCTGTTTTTATAGACAGAGCCATAACAAAATAAGGGTATGACAAATTGAGGCAAGCTCCTAAGTGACTGAAGGGGCCAAATAATTAAGTAACAACTCAGGAAGGCAGCTAATGTCCCAAAGTTCTTTCCCTTTTTCCAGTAACAACCCAACAAGAAATCCTTTTGAATTGAAATAATTTTGAATTAAATATTGTAGAGATGTGCCTAGGTAGCTTTCTTTGTTTACCCTCTATCTTATCCTCTTGTGCCAGAGGACACATTGATGTTTTGGAAAGGAATAGCTGATGTAGGCCTGATGGAAGAGGTTGTCTGCAACATACAGAAGGAAATAGAGGAGCTCCTAAGGGGAGTTCAGCAGCGGCTCATCCAGACTCCCTTCCAGGTCACAGGTGAGTGCACTGATCCTAACAACAGTGGTCATTTATCAAATACTCAACAACTGTGGGCAGGTCCTTTTAGTCTCACAGCAACTCTGAAGTACAAATATCATTATCTCCATTTTACAGATAAAGGAAAATAAGGCTCATAAAAATTAAGTCACTTGTTTAAAGTTCATAACTGGGTTTTAAACTCAGGTCTGGCTGTTTTTTCTACATGTAGTTTTTCCTTTATAAATAGTGCCAGAAAGAAGCACTTTCTCCATACCCCTGCCCCATATTCACTCTCTAACTCACGCGCTCTCTCTCTATTGTATATATATGAATGTGTGTGTGTATGTATGCTTGATCTTAGCCAAAAGGCTGAGAAGCAATGTGTGTATATACGTGTGTGTGTGTGTAAGGTGTGTAAGTCTGAAAATTAGAAAAATCTATCTGGTTTTAGATGATGATGATGATTAGTTTTGGTACTGGGTATTGAACAAAAGGTACTTTACCACTGAGCTACATCCCCAATTCTTTTTAAACTAGGTTTCACTAAGTTCCAACTTGTGATCCTTTAGCTTCAATAGAAGTAGTCAGAGTATGAGTAGTAGGATTTATATTTTTAAAAGATCACTCTGGTTGCTCTCTGGAGAGTTTATGGGTCATAAGTGGAAATAAGAAGATGAACTGGGAGAGTTTAAAAGATTAGTCCAAGCAAAAAAATGAAGCTGAGGGGCTGGGGTTGTGGCTCAGCAATAGAGCACTCGCCTAGCATGTGCAAGGTCCTGGGTTCGATCTTTGGCACCACATATAAATAAAAAAAATAAAGCCATTGTGTCCAACTACAACTAAAAAATAAATATTAAAAAAAAATAAAGCTGAGGACTGGGGCTATATCTCAGTGGTGGAGTATTTGCCTAGCATGCACAAGGTCCTGGGTCCAATCCCCAGCACCAGAAAATAAAAAGAGGAGAAAAAAGAATAGAGGAATTCTATGGATTCAGTGCAATCTCAATAAAATTCCAGTGGGATTTAAAAAAAGAAATGAAGCCAGGCATGGTGGTACACAACTGTAATCCTAGCAACTCAGGAAACTGAAGCAGGAGGATCACAAGTTCCAGGCCAACCTTGGCAACTTAGGGGAGACACTGTCAAAATTTTAAAATTTGGGGGGCTGGGGATGTGGTTTAGTGGTAGAGAACTAGCCTAGCATGTGCAAGGCCCAGAGTTCATCCCCAGCATTGAAAAAAATAAAATAAAATATTTTTTATGTATTTATTTTGATCTATTTTTAAATTTATATTTATTTATTTATTTATTTTTAAAATTTTGGTACCAGGGATTGAACCCAGTGCTGCTTAATCACTGAGCCACTTCCCCAGCCATTTTTTTTTATATTTTATTCAGACACAGAATCTTGCTGAGTTGCTTTGGGACCTGACTAAATTGCTGAGGCCGGTTTGAACTTGTGGTCCTCCTGCCTCAGCCTCCTGAGCCCCTGGGATTATAGGTGTACCATCACACCCAGCCTAACAACTCTTTTTACTCCCTGCAGTATTAGGGATTGAACCCAGGGCCACATGTATAAGCTATGTTTCCAGCCCATTTTACTTTTTTGTTTTGAGAGAGTCTCGATAAGTTGCCTGGACTGGCCTTGGACTTATAGTCCTCCTTCCCCAACCTCCCAAGTAGCTAGGATTGCAAGCATGTGCCACCACACCCAGCTACTGACAAAATTTTCAAGAACTTTTATGGAACATGTAGGCACAGTGACTCAGAAGGCTAAGACAGGGGGATTGCAAGTTTGATACTAGCCTCAGCATCTTAGGGAGATCCTGTCTCAAAAAGGACTGGTGATGTATCTCAGTGGTAAAATACCCATGGGTTCAATTTCCCCTTTCAAAGAAAAGAAAACTTTTCTAAAAGGGAATAGAGATAATACTTTGTGTGTGTGTGTGGGGGGGTGGTGGTGGTAGTTCTGGGGAATGAACCCAGGGCCTCAAGCATGCCAGGCAAGCACTCTACCACAGAACCATATCCCCAGCCCCAGAAGTAATACTATTAATAATAATATTGGGGGCTGGGGTTGTGGCTCAGTGGTAGAGTGCTCACCTAACACATGTGAGGCCCTGGGTTTGATCCTTAGCACCGCATAAAAATAAATAAATAAAATAAAGGTATTGTGTCCAACTACAACTAAAAATAAATAAATATTTAAAAAATAATATTGCATACCTGCCAGAGATAGTGGTGCATGCCTGTAATCCCAGTGGCTTGGGGAGCTGAAGCAGGAGGATCACAGGTTCAAGGCCAGCCTCAGCAACTTAGCGAGACCGGCTCAAAATAAAATATTAAAAAAGCGGCTGGGGAGCTGAGGATATAGCTCAATTGGTAGAGTGTTTGCCTTGCAGACACAAGGCCCTGGGTTTGATCCCCAGCACCCCTGCAAAAATGCTGGAAATGTGACTCAGTGGTTGAGTGCCCCTGGGTTCAATCCCTAGTATCGAAAAAAATAATAATAATAATAATATTGCATACCAGTCCTCACATGTGACACTTAAAATATATTTCTAATCCTCATATCTATTTTACAGAGTAAGTATTTACAGAATAAGTATTATCAGTTCTATTTGTTTCAGATGGGAAAACTGAGGGAGTGAAATGACCTACCGTAGGTCACATAGATAGTAGCAAAACTAGAGTCAGTGCTTAGCAGGGGTGAGGCCCTAGGTTCAATTCCCAGTACCAAAAGAACAACCATAAAACTAGCAAAACTAGTTTTCAAACTTAGGTCTTGGGGGCTGGGGATATAGTTCAGTTGGTAGACTGCTTGCCTTGCATGCGCAAGGCCCTGGGTTCGATCCCCAGAACCAAAAAAAACAAAATAAACAAATTTAAGTCTTATCTAGTCTAGCCACAACATTTTCTTTCTTTTTTTTTTTTCTTTTCTTTTGTTTTCTCTTCTCTTTTCTTTCTTTGGATTGAACCACAGGGCACTTAGCCACTGAGCTGTATCTCCAGACCTTTTTTTGTATTTTATTTTGAGATAGGGTCTAAGTTGCTAAGGCTGGGTTTGAATTTGCAATCCTCCTGCCTCGGCTTCCCAAGCTGCTGGGATTATAGGCATGTGCCATCATGCCTGGCAAGCCACGGTGTTTTCTATACTGAAAGTAAAAACTTATAACCAGACAGAGGATATTTTTTTCTGATTTCTTTCTTTCTTTATATGGAAAGACATAGGTGTAACAATTAAATAAAAAAGCATTTATACATGTGATAAATCTTTGTATAGAAATTATTAAAATGCAATGAGGAAAATTTCATAATGTCTGGATTGTTTCATATTTATCAATAGCACAACAGGAAGCTGGTAGAACATTTGTTTTTTACTCTATAGGCATGTATTTTGTTTTAAATAGATGCTGCTGTTCTCAACAATGTGGCACATACCTTTGGCCTAATGGACACAGTTAAGAAGGTTTTGGACAACAGAAGGAACCAAGTAGAGCAAGGAGAAGAGCAATTTCTCTATACTCTGACAGGTGTGTATTTCTCTCCTTAGTACATATACCAATGTCCTTGAATCTTGCCATTTCCTTGTTAATGTTTGTTGAGACTGACTTTTTTTTTTTTTTAATTTTATATATCAGATTTTGCTTTTTGCTTTTTGAAAAACAAACAATCCACCTGAGGAAAGGTGGATTAAAACAAAGGAAAAAAGAGGGAAGCCAACACCATGATCCTTCTGTATCTTTTGGAGGAGTAAGATGTCTGCTAGATTGCTTCATTAATCAAATAATGTTGGTGACAGAAGACACAAATTAATCTTTGTCATTTTTTGAAACATTTTTCTAGTTGTAGATGGACACAATATCTTTGGGGTTTTTTATTTTATTTTATTTATTTATTTTTTTAATATTTATTTTTAGGTGTAAATGGACACAACACAATGCCTTTATTTTTTTATGTGGTGCTGAGGATCGAACCCGGGTCCTGTCCATGCTAGGGGAGCACTCTACCGCTGAGCCACCATCCCAGCCCTTGGGTTTTTTTAAATATTTATTTTTTTAGTTGTAGTTGGACACATATTTTTATTTTATTTATTTATTTTTATGTGGTACTAAAGATCAAATCCAGGGCCTTACATGTGCTAGGCGAGCGCGCCACTGCTGAGCCACAACTCTATTTATTTATTTATTTATTTATATATTTAGAAATTTATTCTGCTTAATCCATAAGCTTTATATAGCTTTAGTTTAAAAAAAAAAGAGAGAGGAAACAAAAATAGTGAAACCAAGACACTATTTTCAAAGTCTGGGCTCTTCTAGCCTTCCAAATACAAGAGCTCTGAAAGTTGTATATAGCAATTGGAAGAACAAGACAAAAATATGAATGGATCTGTGACATTTTATAAAACAAAATTTTAGATTAACTGAAGGATCCTTCCTTCATTTTAATAATTGCTAGGTTGAAGTTCACCATGTAAAAAAAAAAGAGGGGGCATGAATTTACATTGCAAAAGGTGTCCACAGTGTATTAGTGACATTCTTTTATTGACCGCTGACATAAATTCATTTAGAGTAAAATATTTTAAGCCAAAAAAAAATCCCTTTTTTAAAAAAGGGAGTTTAAGTATTGTTGGCATTCTCATGGTTCCTCTACACTCTCCTGGCTGTTCCCACAGGTTTGTTTTTTGTTTTGTCTTTCTCTCTCTCCCCCGCCCCTCTCTTTTTTTCTTTACTTTTTCTCATTTGAGTCTTACCACCATTTAAGTTATGCTTCCAACTTTGTATGGTTTGTAAGCTTTCCCAGAAATAAGACTACTGCTGAACTACCACAAAAGTATTAATTTATTTTTTTATGTGGTGCTGAGAATCGAATACAGTGCCTTACACAGGTGAGGCAAGAGTTCAACCACTGAGCCTCAACCCAGCCCAAATCTTCGTCATTTTACATTATTATTTTTTTTTAGAATAAACTGCATTCATAAAAATAAAACTTCATAAAAATATGGAATGCTTTACAAAGTTGCGTGTGGTCTTATGCAGGGGCCATGCTAATCGCTAATCTCTATATCATTCCAATTTTAGTATATGTGCTATTGAAGCAAGCTCATTTTTACATTATTGATACTGCTTCTTTTGGTAGATATAAATTTTGCACCTTCACCATTATTTATGGTAGTCAGAAATTACAAGCACCTAGGTAATTTAACTCTTTTTACAATCAAGACTTTGTGATCATTTTCAAATTAGATCTTGTTTTTGTTTTATGGTACTGGGGCTTAAAATATTTTAACATTGACATGTTAAAATACTGTTGTTTTAAAAACATTGTCTTAATGGAGCTGGGGCTATAGCTCAGTGGCAGAGCACTTGCCTGGTATGCGTGAGGCACTGGGTTCAATCCTCAGCACCACATGAAAATAAACAAATAAAATAAAGGCATTCTGTCCATCTACAACTACAAAAAAATTAAAAAACAAAACATTGTTTCAAGCTTATTTTTTTACATCTAGTTTATATATTTGTCATTGTTGTTATTTGGTACTGGGGATAGAACTCAGAGGTCCTTTACCACTGAGTCACATTCCTAGTCCTTTTTCACTAAGTTGCCCAGGCTGTTCTCAAACTTGCAGTTCTCCTGCCTCCATCTCCAAAATTGCTGGGATTACAAGTGTGTGCTGCCACACCCAGATCTAGTTTGTATTTTAACTTCAGTTCACTGAGTTTTGGTCCCCCTGAGAATGCTAGGATGATCATTCTCCCTCTTGACTCTGTATAGATAATTGAGAGGATAAATGATCTGACAGAAAAGCCTAGAGTAGATAGATCTCTTGTCATTTTACTACTAGCCTGGCACTTTCTCTTACCTTGAAACTTTAATCTATCAGCAGAATGGGTTTTTATTTTTTTGGGTACCAGGAATTGAACTCAGGGGCACTCAATCACTGAGCCACATCCCAGCCCTTTTTTTGTATTTTTTTATTTAGAGACAGGATCTCACTGAGTTGCTTAGCACCTCACTGTTGCTTAGACTGGCTTTAAACTCACAATCCTCTTGCCTTAGCCTCCCAAGCTGCCATGTTTACAGGGGTGTGCCACCATGCCCAGCAGCGGAATGGTTTTTGTTAGAAATGTGGGCTTTTGCTGGGCATGGTAGTGCACACCTGTAATCCCAGCAATTTGGGAGGCTGAGATAGGAGGATAGAACCGTTAAGACTTCTTTCAGACTGGGGATATAGCTCAGTTGGTAGAGTGCTTGCACAAGGCCCTGGGTTCAATACCCAGCACCATAAGAATTCTTTCAGTTCTATAATTCTTAGAGAGTTATTCTGTAACTCACTTGAGACATCTCTGGGTTCATGGTAGACTGGCAATTTGGGTCACCAGCAAAGGAGTTTTCCAGTCAAAGTAGTTTTCCATCAAGGTAATCTTGATTTGAAGGACAGTTTGAGAGCCATTGTGTTTTTAGAATGATTCCAAATGTATTGTGCAGATACTTCTTATTTCATCTATAGACCTAGGCAGGAATATTTAAGCCAGAACACTAACTGGATGATCTTAGAGAAGTAGAGAATAGAATAGTGGTTGCCAGAGTCTGGGAAGGGTGTGAGGGAAGGAGGGTTGGAGAAAACATGGTTAATGGGTGCAGGGGTGCACTTGGATAGGAAAATAACTTCTAATGTTCTTTGGCACAGAGGATCATTATGGTTGAAATCCATTAATTGAAATTTCAAAATAGTGAAGAGACGAATTTTTTGGGGGGCAGGAGGTACCAAGGATTGAATATGGGGGCACTTAACCACTGAGCTATGTCCCCAACCCTTTATTTTTATTTAGAGACAGGTTCTCACTAAGTTGCTTAGCACTTTACTAAGTTGCTGAGTTGGCTTTAAACTTGCAATCCTCCTGCCTCAACCTCCTGAGCAGCTGGGATTACAGGCGTGACCCACCATGCCCAATTGAAGAGAGGATTTTGAATATTTTGAACACAAAGAAATGATATCTCTCTGAAGTGATAGATATGCCAATTATTTAATCTGATCATTGCATATTATATACATGTATTGAAATACCACCAGGACCCTATAAATATGTACAATTAGTACATATCAATAAAAAAGACTGGAGAAATAGGTCAGTTTTAGAGCATGTGCTTAGCATGCTTGAGCCCTTGGGTTTATCTTATTGGCACTGGGCATTGAACCCAGGGCTGCTTTAAGCTTGAGCTACATCCCCAGTCATTTTTGTTTTTAAATTTTGAGATATGGTCTTACTAAATTACCCAGGCTGGCCTCAAATTTGGCAATCTTCCTGTCTTAGCCTTCCAAATTGTTGGGATCACAGGTGTACATTACTATGCCCAGCTAAAGCCTTGGATTTAAAACTTGTACTTGTGAAAAGGAAAAGAGAAAAAAAAGACCAGCTGGAGACTTCTTTGGTTTGCATTTTGGTGATAGCTGACAAAATGCTGGAGGAGCTTTTAGAATTGAAAGTAGGATCACAGCTTGAAAAAATTCTGAACTGTTACCCTGCCTATAATTACACAAAGAAATGTAATTACTGGAGGGGTTTTAAAATCATCCATTCTAGTCATTTTGAAAACAGTGGAGTCTCTTCTCTGAGGCTACATAGTGGATAAACCAGGGCAGGATTCCATGTCTCTTGATTCCCAGTTTAATGTTCCGAAGATTATATTTCCCACCACACAGTTTTTTGTTTTTGTTTTTTAACCATAGACTTGGAACGCCAGTTGGAAGAGCAAAAGAAGCAAGCCCAGGATCATAGGCTGAAATCCCAGACAGTTCAAAATGTGGTACTGATGCCTGTGAGCACTCCTAAGCCTCCAAAAAGGCCTCGGCTCCAGCGGCCAGCCTCCACCACCGTCCTGAGCCCTTCTCCTCCTGTGCAGCAACCTCAATTCACAGTCATCTCACCCATCACCATCACCCCAGTGGGTCAGTCATTTTCCATGGGCAATATTCCAGTGGCCACCCTCAGCCAGGGCTCCAGTCCTGTGACTGTCCACACACTGCCTTCTGGCCCTCAGCTCTTCCGATACGCCACAGTGGTCTCCTCTGCCAAGAGCAGCTCACCAGAAACAGTGACCATCCACCCTTCATCTAGCTTGGCACTGCTAAGCTCTACTACCATGCAGGATGGAAGCACCCTGGGCAACATGACCACCATGGTGAGCCCTGTGGAGCTGGTAGCCATGGAGTCTGGCCTGACCTCAGCACTCCAGGCAGTTGAAAGCACCGCAGAGGATGGGCAGACCATCATTGAAATTGACCCAGCCCCAGACCCTGAAGCTGAAGACACTGAGGGCAAAGCAGTCATCTTGGAGACAGAGTTGAGGACTGAGGAGAAAGTAGTGGCTGAGATGGAAGAACACCAGCACCAAGTCCACAATGTGGAGATTGTGGTCTTAGAGGATTGACTGGGGATCTCGGGGCCAGGAGATATGTTTTGGTTTGGAATTTTAATTATTTGTTTATTTTTATCATTGTCCCACTCATTTCCACATAGGATCCTTCCTTTTTTTTTTTTTTTTTTAGAACAAAATTTCATTGTTATAACTGAAAATGTTGGATTCCTCCCACTCTCTCATTGAAAAATGGACAAAACAAACTGCCCTTCCACAGTTGAGAGTAGGTCATTCAATGTCTTAATCATCTTACTCCATGAAAGTTATTTTTTTAGGGGAGGCATCAAAATAACCAGAAACCCTTTCCAGACTAGTCTATCTGTGTACGCATGTGGTTTTATTCTTGTAAAGATGATTGACCAAACTCTGGAACACAGATCTGACACTGGAAGGCAACCCATTCACATGTGGATGCAGAAGTATGCTTTTTTTAATTTGTATCTTGGAAAGGATTCTCAGAGGGCAGTGCAAAACTCTGAAACAAAAAGAAGTTGAACTCTGCTTGGAGGGGAAGGTAGCATGCTAGCTGCAGCTTAAAAAGGGAAATGCTTTCACAAGGGTGGGGCAAGGGAATTAACTTACCTACAAAGGTGCAACTGATATCACTTAAGATCTCTGAGGGTTGTTACTAGGGGTACCATTTGAAAAGAGGCCAGTAATAAGTGGAAGTGTACATTTTCACAGAGTAAGTGATAACAGTGGCCTGTGGCTTTGCTGAAATAGAAATCAAGGGACACTACAGCTGTGCTTTAAAGTTCAGGGTGATAGCTTCCTTGCCCCCCACTTTGTAGAAGCACTTACCCTCCTAACCTAGGATCAGTTCTTTCATTTGCAAACTGTGTGATGTGGTGTAAATTGCTCTGGTCTTTAGAGTGTGGCTGCCTGTGGGTGGGACTCCAAGGCCATCATTTTTATTGCATGACTCCAGGAACAGGGGGAGTTCCTCATTCAGACCAGCTTCCATCTTTGATGGGGCCTTTCCCCCTCCTCCTCCTTGGCTTTGGAACCAAAAGCAGTCACTCATCTGGTGCTTCCTCTTGTTCTCCCCTCTACCCTCAATTCTTAATGGCATCTGTCTTCTGGATCCCACGCTCTTCAGCTTTTTGGCTGATTTGGAGATCAGTGACAGGTGCCTGCCTGCCTTCATCTCCTTTTAGATTCATTTATACCACAGATGTTTCTGTGAGATACTGAGCTCATAAAAAGCCTTAGGCTTGGCAGGGAAAACTGGTAACACCCCCAGCCTTTCCTGAGGCACCAACTAAATGTCTCCTCTTGAGTGAGCTGGACTCCCTGGGAAAGAAACATTATCTGTGACATTATATTATAGGAAATGTACCAGGAATGTCAGTAGTAATGTCGTGTTTTGTTTTTGTTTTCCTAAATGTTGTTTGTATATTTAGAGCTGGCAATTTTTTTTTTTTTTTTTGTGCTATGATTCCTTCTCTTTGACCGGTCCTCTTCAGTGTTTGGGATAAGAGTAGACCCTGTTTTTTTGTTGTTTCTTTGACTTCATTGTTTACTGCACCAGGATAATATAGGGAAACTACAGGCAACTTTAATGAAAAAATAGGTAAAAAAAAAAAAAAAAAAAAAGCACACACTTTAGGAATGGGAGGATTTTTTTTTTTTTAATTAAAAGCAAATCTTTGACCTGTAGTTTCTTTCCTTTTTTCTTTCTTCTTTTTTTTTAAAGAAGGCTTTTCTCTGAAGGTGTGTTTTTTCCCAACAGATGTTGGAAACTGTATCAAAGCCAGTGAAAATTGTGTTCTGCCATCCCTTGGATGGCTGCATATAGCCAGAGAAGCCCTCTAACTGGGGAGGGTCAATCTTAAAAGTTGTAAGAGTGAGACTTCTGAACTCTGTACAAGTAGTGGTTTCAGCTTTAAAATTAGGGTTTGATTTTTCTTTTCAAAATATTTAGTAGACTTAGCATTCAGTTTAGAAAAAAATCTTTGGCCTTTTACATATCTTTAGTGAGGGAAGTGGCTTCTGTTATCTGCTTCTTTAGTTTTTCTCCTGGTACATAAACAAAATCTCTGTCTAAAGACTGAAGCTACTACTTGAATCTAGAAAGGCACATCTCATCCCTATTGTGATCTTTAGGGATACTTTTCTCTTTCCCAGAAATGAGAGGACCAATTCAGAATAGCAGAGGAACCTAAAGATTTTGGTGAGCTAGCTCAAGTTTCTTTCTTTTCCCCATCAGAGCTGTTGGTAGTGTATAAGGTAGCATGAACATCATGCTTCCAATGTCAAGAGATCTCCTGAAGACACAACCTGTTGACTTTCTGAATATTCCAGCTGGTGAAATACATGAGCTTTACTGTTTTGCTGGTCTTCCAATGACCTGTCATTATTAGCTGCTGTAGTAGCCATTGCTCTGTGTGAGTTCCCTGACTCCCTGGTCTAGGTGATTTTAACTGGGGTGAGACATCAGCAAGCCCCTGATACGTGCACAAGCAGCTGCAATGAATCTCCTCAGGCTGATTTGATAGGAGCCATCTATCTTTCTATTCATTCATTAAATAAACATTTATGAATACCACTTATGTGCCAGGCTTTGTGCTAGGCACCAGAAGTGCAAAGATGAAGACAGTGCCTACATTCAAGGAGTTACTTCTCCAAACCTCTGGAGTTGTTGTCAATCTTCCAATATATTTGGTTTCTTTTGTAATCCTATGTATCTTATTTTATGCATTGAAAAACATTATTCTGAGAATTGGTCTATAGATTTCAGGATTGTGCCAAAGAAACAAAAAGGTGAGAAGCCACCTCCAATGAGATTCTGAAACATGGAGGTGAGTGCAGCTACAGGGTTGTTGGCCTGGAGATAAGAAAGCAAAGGGTCAAGCTCCTAACTCACGGCGGGGTTCATAAAAGAGAAAAAATCTTTAATCTCTTGCTGCTTCTGCCTGCAGAGGCAGGCAGAGTCAGTGGATGGGCAATCTCCTGAGAGTGCCTCACTGGAGAAAAATGAGTGTACCTGGGCTTCTCCAGGTTTCCATCAAATGAAACCAGGGCTGAATCTGGTGTAGGACTGGAGTCTAGCTGGTAAAGGGGAAATGCTCCAGACCCTGCCATGTGGTTTCTCCAAAGGCCTGAGTCAACTGTACAACTGTCTTGTCTTGGCCATGTCCCTGTTTGGTCCGTGCCTTATTCCCATATCCTTCTTAATTTCCATATCTAACCTGCCCCCCAAAGTAGTGATTCTGAAGTAAAAATGGACCATATACATGAATATTGAAGATTCACAATCACTTCAGAGTGCATTTTTTACACACCTATGTTCATATTAGGAAAGGAGGGTCAGTGTAAATTCAGTGTTAGAAATTAACAGTTAAGGTGGCTTTGATATTCTTTAATGGTGGCCATTTACCCTGTGTCAAAAGGCAGTAGAGGTGAGTATATGGTGGTGAGTACAGAGTTATAACCATAGCAAGATTAAAGCATGAAATATGGAATTACTAGTTGACTGAGTTCTAACTGACCCAGGTTTTAAAACTCTCAAGAGTTAGAAAGGAAAAAAAAAGGTTGAATCCTGAAAATAGACATAAGGTTATGATTCACCTTGGACAATACTACTTAGGAAATAGTTCTCTCAGTCAAAAAAGGGACACCAGCCTAGCTCCTGCATTTCAGACAACTTTCGTAATACAACTGATCACTTCCCTGGAGGTAGGACAGATCCCTTTCACTTAGGATGATCCCTCCCTGGAATTTTTTTTTTTTTTTTTTTTTTTTTGGTAGTGCTGGGAATTAAACCCAAGGGTTTGCACAAGCTAACCAAGTGCTCCAACGTTGAGCTACATCCCCAGTCTCTCCATGGGAAATTATTGGGTAGTCTATAATGTACTTTCATAAGATCCATGGTTGTCAGGGACCCCAAGGAATTGGTTCTGCCAGATTTAGACTCTGTCCCTTGAATTTCTATTTTAGTACCATTTGAGTTCTTTCCAGGTTTCCTTCTCAAGACTGGAACACCTTTGCCCTTAGTTATGCAATTTGACTTACTTTATTTTTAATCCCCTCTGTATACACTCCTTCATCCTTGTCTTTTTCTGTTTCATTAATTCTGCCTTTCTGCCAGGTCAGTGCAGTAACTTTCAACTCTTTTTTTTTCCCCAATACTGGAGTTAAACCAGGATGCTTTACCATTGAACTACATTCTCAGCCATTCTTATTTTTGACAGGCTCTAAGTTGCTTGAACTTGCAATCCTCCTGCCTCAGCCTCCTGAGTGTTGTTTGGATTACAGGTGTGCACCAATTTACCCTGCAATTTTCAACTTTTTTCTGGAGGGTTTTGGGAGTAGGGATTGAATTCAGGGGCATTCTATCACTGAGCCAAATTACTGGTCTTTTTTTTAATTATTATTATTATAATTTTAAGACAGGGTTTCATTAAGTTGCTGAGGCTACCCTCCAACTTGTGATCCTCCTGCATCATGCTTCCTAGGCAGTAAGACTACAGGCCTCTATCACCTTGCCTAGGTAGTACCTGAAGTTTGTATTATGTCTTCTGAGCCTTTCAACATAACAGAACCCACACCCTGCATTCTGCATTGTGAAATTGCTCTGGGCTTTCCTCATGTTATCTCTGGTTTCCATTTCTGTACCACTACTGGTAGTCATGTCTTGGAATTTGGTATATATGGATCTATCTTTGTAGTTTGAGAACATGAATAAATAGTCGGTTTGGTTTACAATAGAGTAAATGTGGGACTGGGCATGTTGGCACATGTCTGTAATCCCAGCCACTCCAGAGGATGAGGCAAGAGGATTGAAAGTTCAAGGGCAGCCTGAGCAATTTAGTGAGACTCTGTCTCAAAATAAAAAGGGCTGGAGATGTAGCTCAGTGGTAAAGTGCCCCTGGCTTAAATCCTCAGTACCTCAAAAAAAAAAAAAAAAAGTATGGTGAGTGAGGATATAGCCCCGTGATAGAGATGTTTGCCTAGTATATGGTAAGCCCTAGGTTCCATCCCCAGCACCACAGGAAAAAAGAAAGAAGAGAAAATGTGAGGCTTGGTGAGGACTCACAAACACAGGTTCCCCATGGGCTTCTCTAGAAGGGTTTACTTGCATTTCAAAATGTAGATATATTTATTTGCTTTTTTTTTTTCTCTCTCTCTCTCTAACTTGTTTTCTCTAACAAAGTCTATAAACTATAGAGCAAACCGGAGACTCACAGCAATGTTTCAGCCTGCAAATTTATTTCAATTCACATTTCTGTTTTATTGAATTTGCATATGGGAAATCATAGATGTATAACTTGATAAATTTGACAATTTTATTGACACACCCATGAAACCAGCATGCAGATCGAGGAAAGCAAACATTACCAACACCTCACCCTGCAAGGGTAACTATTCTCCAGTTCTCTAACACAGTTTATTTTTGCTTCTTTTTGAACCTTTTTGTTAGTGGATTTTTCACTCAACATTGTGTTTATGCCACTCATCCATAATATTATATGAAGTTGTTAGTTTTTTCTCATTGCTCTATAGAAACTAGCTATGCCAGAACTGAAGCATTTGACCAATAATGAGCACTTGGGTAACTTCCACCTTGGAATGATTATAAATCATTCCTCTGTGAACTTTTTTTTTTTCCCCCCTCAGTGCTGGGAATGGAACCCAGGCCTTAAGTATGCTGGGAAAATGTTCTGTTACTGACTATATCCCCAGCCCCAACCTTTTTATACGTGTCTTTTGAGAAATATAAATATGCAGTCGGTCATGGAGGCATATACCTATAATCCCAGCAACTCAGCAGGCTTATTGCCAAAAGCTCAGTCCTTGTCTGGATGTCAATCCAATAATCAGGAAACTGTTTTGAGAAAAAGGAAAAAGAAGGTTTATTGCTTTGCTAGCAAAGGAGAAATGCAGGGGATTCCTGTCCCAAAGGCTGTATGATTCTGCTCATCAGCAGGAACAGGGGGCTTTTATAGAGGTGATTCAAAGAAAATGAGATTAGAGAGGAGAGATCAGGAAGAAGTTTAGGCAAAAGAAAATCAGAGAGGAGAATATTTAGGGAAAAAAGATTGAGAAAAAGAACAAAGCCACAGGGATATAGTCAAAGCATCAAGTGAACCCCTGTTACAGGCTGAGGCAGGAGAATTGCAAGTTCAAGGCCATCCTGGGCAATTTAGGGAGAGTGTATCTTAATGAAAATAAAAAGGGTTGGAGATATAGTTCAGTGGTGGCAGAACATCCCTGGGTTCAAATCCCTAGTACATCAGGTACATATATATGTCGAGTTTCAAACATTAGGATGGTTCATATGAAAAAAAGACAAGATACAGTTTTTCTTTTAAAATATTTTTTAGTCATTAATGGGCCTTTATTTTACTTATTTATACTTATTTATATGCGGTGCTGAGAATAGAACCCAGTGCCTTACACATGCTAGGTGCTCTAACATTGAGCCACAACCCCAGCCCCAAGATACAGTTTTTATTAAACCAAAACAAACCCAACAACATCAGTAGTTTTCTTACAAAAGTTGGTTCACATTTCCTTATAATAACTCTTGACTGGAACTGAGGCATATCTTCAGTATGGCTTCTTCATCAACCCCACAAACTCCCTATGACAATCCCAGATTGACTGACTGACTTAAATAGTTGTGTTTGTTGTTGTCTTTTTTTTTTTTTTTTTTTTTTGGTACCAGAGATTTAAATCCCTTGGGTGGGCTTAACCACTGAGCAACATCCTCAGCCCCTTTTGTGTTTTTTAGTTTTGAGACAGCCTCACCACTAAAATGCTGAGGCCAGCTCTGAATTTACAAGCCTCCTGCCTCAGCCTCCCAAGGTGCTGAGATTATTGGCATGCACCACCACACCCCACCCAGCTGCTTAGAATATCCTTCCCCCAGATAACTACAAAACTTATTTCCTCACTTCCTTCTAGCCTCTGTTCACATGCCACCTTATCAGGGAGGACTTTCCTAACTACACACCCTATTAAAAAAATGGCAATTTCCCCCTGTGCTATGCTTCCTATATTCTTCTACTCTCCTTTCTTTTTCTTTATTTTACTTATCTGACACATTTATTTTCTCCCCTCTAGAATAGAAGCTCCTTGAGCAAGAAACTTTCTTGTCTAAATATGTAGTTTCCACAACTGGAACAGTGCCAGACATGTAGTGGAAGCCTGATAAATATTTGATGCATGAATAATTATATTAAGGGCTAGAGATGGGGTTCAATGATAGAGTGCTTACCTGGGATACATGAGCCCCTGGGTTCTGATCCCCAGCACTGCAAAAAGTAAACAAATAATAATAATTATAGACAGTATTCATTGAAGGTGACTATGTACCACGAATTGTTCTAAGCACTTTACACATGCTTTTTCTTAGTGAGCTTTTTCTCTGCTGTGACCAAAAGACCTGATAAGAACAATGTAGAGAAGGAAAAGTTTATTTGGGGCTCATAGTTTCAGAGGACCCAACTCCATTGCCAACTCCCTTGCCCTGGGCCTGAGGCGAGGCAGAACATCATGGTGGAAAGCAGCTCAGAACATGTCAATCAGGAAGCAGAGAGAGAGCTTTCGCTTACCAGGGACAAAATATAAATCCTAAAGGCATGTCCTACCTGCCTACAGTCACCATCAGTTAATTCATTCAAGTGGATTTATGCATTGATTAGGTTAAGGCTCTCAAAACCCAATCATTTCACCTCTAAACTTTTTTTTTTTTTGCATTGCCTCACACATGAGCTCTTGGGAGACACCTCATATTTAAACTGTAACACCTTTCTTTCTTTCTTTTTTTTTTTTTTTTGTGCTGTGCCACGGTTGGAACTCAGAACTTCACACATGCTAGCCAAGTGTTCTGCCACTGGTCTATTCTCCCAGGCCCAACGTGTTTGTTGTTGTTTAAAAATTTTTTTTTTAATCTCAACATATGTTTGATCCTCACAGCTATCCTATGTGATAGATGGTATTATTGGCTTCATTTTACAATGAAGAAACTAACATATTCATTCTGAACAGAGATGCTTTGTTTTCACTTTTTGATGGTGCAGAAGATGGAACCCAGAGCCTCCTCACATATGCCAATGTACACCTCAAGCTCCATGTAGCTCAGTGGTAGAGTACTTGTGGGTTCAATAGAACAGAGCATCTTCTTTTTGCTTGGAGGAAGAAATGGGCTTCGTCCATCATGATATTGAAGGACCGGTAGCAGATGGGTAGGAAAGATGACAAGGTCACTCCAGGCAGAAAGAACAGTGTATGGTATGAAGAGGCTGGGGGTGCCTGGGGGTATATCTTAATGGTAGAGCCCTGCCTATCATACGTGGGACCCTGGGTTCCATCTCTAGCACCAAAATGGGTAAGTCAATGCATAAATAAATAAAAGAACTGCATGTACAAACTCATAGGCTCTAGAAAAAAATGCATATTTGGCAACAAGTTCAGTGGGACATAGAATGGGGGAGATGTGGCAGTTGAACTTGAGAAATATACAAGGGTGGCTTGGTTTGTATATGGTGTGGAGTACAGAGAACCAACAGAAATTCTTATTTTTTTAAATTTATATATATTTTTGGTACTAATATTGAACCCAGTGTTGCTGAAGGCTTGGTCCTTATCCCTGATGCCAATCCAATAAGAAGGACACAGTTTTGAGAAAAAGGAAAAGGAAGGTTTATTGCTTTGCTAGCAAAGGAGGTACACAAGGGATTCCTGTCCCAAAGGCTGTGATTCTGCTCCTCAGCAGGAACGGGGATTTTATAGAGGTGATTCAGAGAAAATGAGATTGGGGAGAGATCAGGAAGGAGAAGATCAAGGAGGAGAAGTTTAGGGAAAAGAATATGAGAGAAGATCAAGGAGGAGATCAGGAAGGAGAAGGCTAGAGAAAAGAAAATTGGGGAAAAAGAAAAAAAAACATGTAAATCGCATAGTCACAAGGGATATTATCAAAGCATCAAGTGAACCCCTGTTACACCAAGGGTGCTTAGCTTCTGGGCTACACCCCAGCCCTTTTTATTTTTTATTTTGAGACAGGGTCTTGCTAAATTGTTTAGGGCCTCGCTATATTGCTGAGGCTGGCTTTGAACCTGTGATCCTCCTGCCTCAGCCTCCAAAGTTGCTGGGGCTCAGTGTTTCCATAGCAATGTTTGCAGTATGCTTAGTGTTTGCACACTTATTCAATCCCTAGAACCAAGGGGGGGATAAAAGATATGGAATGCTTCATCCACCCAGTGGCAGAGCCAAAACTAGAAAATAAACCAATTCCCAGTACAGTATTATATTTTCCTAGCCATAACATGATATCACACATTCCATACTTCCCTTCCTTCTTCCTAATCATTAAATGTATCAGTCTTGTGTATTCTGTTTCTACAGGAGCCTGTTAAAGCCAATGTGGTAAACGAATTCAGGTTTAGAGATTGCCCTTTCCCCAAGGATATTTGCATTTTAACTGGGGACTACTGGAGAAAAGGCAATCCCTAAGGAACTAATCAAAATTTCTTGTATCATGAAGATGTTATTGGAAGTAAGGAGTTTTTACTTCTCTCTCTTAATGAGATCATAGGAAAAATATGAAGAGTTGCCTTTTTAAAAAAATTTATCTTTGCAACAAACCTGTTAGGTAGGTATTATTAACTCTTTTTTTTTTTTAATTGTGAGAGTCTGAGAAGGGTTTAGTAATTTTCCTAATGTTGAACATCTGATGGGGAAGCCAGTGTTTAGACTCTTCCTATGTAGTATATGACTCCCAGTCTAATCCTCTTTTTACAACCCCATGTTGCTTCCAAGGGTAAGTGTAGGCAACAGCTTACACAGTTCATATATAAATCTGGGCCATGGGGTTAACTGGCTGATTATCTTTAATAAAAAGTCTTAGTAGGTTCATTTTATTCCCTTGGTGGGATCTAACCTTGGAGACTTGACATTTTACCATCTCCACTAAAAGTCTTCCTCCTTTAGTGCTTGACCTCATCATTCCAACCATAAGTGTGATTGTGGGAAGGAAAATGCATTGAGCACTTTGAGCAAAATAATAATGTAAAATCCAAGATGCCATTTATTTTATTCCTTAGTCCACCAGTCTTCCGTATTGAGCGAGAGAATTATGTTAGGTTGACAACTAATAGTGCATTACTTATATGTTTACTACTATTTACAGTAACAAAAGCAGGTATTGAGTCTTCCTAGTATCAACTATCCCTGCATGAGTTGACTAAAAATGCTTCTGCCAATTCTTCTTAGATTCTTCGAATCTCCTCTGGATTCTGGGTCCTGATTACAAGATTTCTTTATCAAATGCACTGTCTATTAAATAGCTTTGTAACCTTGGGCAGATTAATCTGTTTTCCCAGTTGTAAAATGGAGAGACTGATAGCTATTTTGTTGTTGAAAGGCTTTAATGTGTTTCTGAGAGCCTTTACTGACAAAGTGTGGTCCATAGCAGGGTTCGCATGGTGTTAATTTTCTTCCTGCCCCAGGTCAAAGGCGTTCTTTGCTTTGAAAGGGGGGGGGGGGGAGAGGTGTGCACCGGGGCGCTCCAGCCCTTCAATAAATTTTCTTGGGCTTGAAGTGTTGAAGCTGGCCTCGAACTTGGGACCCTCCTGCCTTAGCCAGTTGAGTTGCTGGGATTCACAGGCGGTGCCCACTCCACCCGGGGGAATGTTCTTTTTTTTTTGGTACTGGGGAACTGGGAATTGAACTCAGGGGTGCTTAACCACTGAGCCACATCCCCAGCCCTTTTAAATATTTCATTTAGAGACAAGGTCTTTCCGAGTTGCTTAGGGCCTCGCTAAATTGCTGAAGTTGGCTTTGAACTCGCGATCCTCTTGCCTCCACCTCCCGAGCCGCTGAGTCCGTTGGGATTACAGGCGTGCACCACCTCGCCTGGCTTTGAGTTCCTTCTCAAGGTCCATGGATTTATAGGTTCTCTGGACTTATTCGAAGTACTTATAAAATGTGATGTGTGAGGTGTATTTTTTCCTGGAAATAAACTTAACACATTTTGGGGGTCAGCGATTTCTCTGAAAAGGGAATCCCCTAATGCCAAGATGTGACTACTCTATTTTGTGGGGGGGTGAGGGAGCAGGGTTGTTTTTTTGTGTGTGTGTGTGTGTGGGGGGGGCTGTATCGCTCTCTTGGGTACTTTTTTTGCAGTCTAACAGGGGATGACATATTCCTGAGAGAGATGGGTGCTTGATGTCCCTCCAAGCCAGGTTCCATTAAGTTTCCCTGGGGCGGCGGCGGCGGGGGGGGGCGCGTTCAATGAGGAGGGCTCTCAGGTTCCCTCCAAAATGGGGGCGGGGTTTCATTTGTAGTTGGGAAGCGGGTTTATTTAAGGTCTCGAGGGCTTCAACTGCCGCCCTTTTATTGAGAAACCGGCCATTGTGGGTTTCCTCAAGCTAAAGGTCCTCTCTTCAGGTGTTAGTCAAAACCTCGTGGCGCTACCCGGGTTGCCCGCATCCTCCTAGGCCCAGTCCCGAGGTGGTGGGGGTGGGGAGGCCGCTTCCGCTCCTCCAGTCCACCAGAGGGCGCTGCGGCCCAGACTCTTCCTTCCCGGGGTGCTTCGCGCCGGGCCCTTCCGCGTGGGTGAGTGAATGTGAGAGTCAGCGCTCGCGCCGCGCGCGCCGCCCGCCTCCGCCGCTCGGCGCCCTTATTCCGGCTGTGAGGGGCGGGCGCGCGCGTAAAAGCATAGAGACGGGCGTTGAGTTCTCGGGCTAGAGCGTCGCCGAGTCGGAGCCGGAGCCCGAGCCGCGCGCTGTGTCTCCGCTGCGTCCGCCGAGGCTCCCGAGTGTCAGGGACAAAAGCCGCCGCCGCGCCGCCTGCTCCCGCCGCCAGGGCTCATCCGCCGCTGCTGCCGCCCTGAGGAGAGTCCGCTGCCTTCGCCACCCGTGAGGATCCGAGAGCCATGTCGGCCAGCAGCCTCTTGGAGCAGGTACAGGCCCAGCCCGCATGCCTCGGCCATTGTGTGAGGCGAGACGGAGCCCGACTAGGCCCGGGCCCGCCGCCCCCGGTCTGGCCCAGCCGCGCCGGCGCTTCTCGCGGACTGGGTTTCGGGCCTCTCGGGCCGGCCGCGCCCAGCGTCTCGCGCCTGGTCCGCTCTTCCCGCTTCTCCCCGGGCCACGGAACCCACCGGCCGCGCCGCGCTCCCTCCCCTCATCGGGCCTGGTTTTCCTTCCTCGTTTCCTTCCCCTTCCTTGAAGCCCTGGCTCCCTCGCGTCGCAGCTGGCGCGTCCCCCGCTTTTTCTCCCGCGGCCGCGCCGGCCTAGCGCTTTTCCCCGCCTCCCGCTTTCAGCCTCCCCCTCACCACCATTCCTGACGCCTCCCCTCAGGCCTGCTTCTTTATTCCCTTCTCGGGCCCTGCTTTCATTTGTCTTTCCCTTTCCGTTTTTTTTCCCGGACAACTTGCTGCTCCGCGACGGTCCCCTTCGTCCGCAGAGACCCAAAGGTCAAGGAAACAAAGGTAAGCCCCGCTCCGCCGGTGGCCCCGGGCTGGGAGGGGGACGCCGCGGTGGGGGCGGGGTCTCGGGACAGCGCCCCAGGGAGGGGACCTCTCGGAAGCCGCTTAGTTCACAGGTGCCTCCCGCTTAAGTGTTTTGACCCTTTCCGAGGGTTCTTGCAGCTGGCGAACAGCTTTTTCGCTAACAAGGAGTAATTCATTCAGGGTGGGGGTGGATTTGGTTTTGAAATGCCCCAGGTCCTTAGTTTCCTGTAGATCTTAGAAGGCCTTTGTTTTTCATCCTCGTGGATCACTTTCTGGAAGTAACTCACACGTGATGGGGGAGGGGAAGCGGGAAGGAATTGTAATCTAGAAGAGCCAATAAAATGACCTTTTTAGATCAACTTGTGCTGGGTGGAGGGAGGCGTTTTCACTCAGGAATCTTGCCTGGGCCCTCTCATATTTATCCTTTTGAAGTTCAAACTTATTTGCTCTCTGAACTAGTTATGTTTTTCTCTGGCTAGGATATATTTGACTGACTTGGGAGGGAGATTGTAGAATTGCTACACTTGTTAATTTGCAGTTTTTTTCTTTAGTACAAAATGGATCTGTACATCAAAAGGATGGATTAAATGATGATGATTTTGAACCTTACTTGAGTCCACAGGCAAGGCCCGTGAGTAATTGACCATTTACATATTTGATCAAAGGGTGTAGCATAATGTTGGTCTTTCTCTGTCCTGTCAATCATTTTGAGGGGAGAGTCACTTTCTTAATACTTATTAGTGTTATAAAACAGTTGTTACAAATGTTAGTCTGTAAGTTTCCTAGCTCTGTATTGTCAGCAGACAATGTACTGAGACTGTAGTACTTTGGTAACATTTTACTGTATACTAACTGCAATACCTGTTAGAGTAATTGGTCTTCCAGTGCAAAGCATGAGACTACTTGTCAGTGCTAAATTTTCTGGAAAAATTCCAGAAAACTGTTTTAGGAAAATTGGGTTAATAATGGTGTTAGAATTTTTTTTTTTTTTTTTTTGGTACTAGGAATTGAACCCAGGGGCCCTTTTCTACTGAGGTACATTCTCTGGCCTTTTTATTTTGAGACAGGGTCTCACCAAGTTTCTGAGGCTGGCCTTGAACTTGGGTACCTACTGCCTCTACCCATGGGAATAATTCTAACAAAATCACCTCAACTTCATTTAGAGCTGGCTGCTTTCTTTCTCTATAGTTCTAGTTAATGGGCTCTTAGTTTATCAGAACTATTTTGGATTTTAATACTTATTTTTTTGGGGTGGGCATGGGGTACTGAGGAACTCAGGGCCTTGCATATGCTCAGCGAGTGCTCTACCACTGAGCTGCATTTGCAGATACTTGGTATTTTGAGATATACTTAACATCTACAGAGACAGACTTTGTGTACCTTTCATTTCTCACTGAAGGGAGCTGTAGGATTTATGAAATAAAGTGCTGCTTAGCATAAACTAACGTCAGACTAAGAATGATTGAGTAAAGAGCTAGCTCAGTTGTAGAGGGCTTGTGCAAGAGTTGTGCCTGGGGCTGGGGCTGTAGCTCAGTGGCAGAGCACTTGTTTAGCATTTGTGAGGCTCAAGTTCGATCCTTAACACCACATAATAAACAAGTAAAATAAAGGCATGCTGTCCATCTACAACTACGAAAAAAATAAAAAATAGAATTATGCCTATATTATCCTCTGTACCACCACAACCCCCATTCCCCAAAAATGATTTAAGTTTTTGCAGTGTAAAGCCTTGTAATGCGAAGATTAGTTGCATGTCTATTCACATACTGTTAATATGACCTGTGCATGTAGAAACTTGTTTGATTCAATAGTTCTTTTGTATTACTATTTCAGGTCCCAGAGGGACTCAGAAAATTTTAGCTAATATAACTTCAGATTAATAGATCAAAAGGAGAAAAGTCAAGATCTCTTCTAAGATTGTAAAAGATCAAGAAGTTCATGGAACATTTGTATAAATTCTGAACATATGCTGTATGAAATGCAGTTGGTAGTGTTCAATAATTTGACGTGTTAGTGCGGAGCCATATTTGGACCTGATAGTTACATACATAAAGCTTTTAGATTTCCTCGAAGATTTTTTGCATTGGAAGTATAGAAGTCACCTAAGTAGGGCTAGGAAACTGGTTCAGTGGCTGGCATGCATGAGACCTTGGGTTTGATCCCTAGTGTTGCAACAAAATAAAACCACCTAAGTGATTGGAAAAAATTTCAGAAAAGGCATCCAGTTAATCAGGAAAAATAGGGAAGGAAGTAGAGGAATGAACTAATAGATTCCTGATATTGAAGTAGTTTACTTATATAATCATTATAACAGGGAGAGTGGGAACATTTAGAAACATAATTTGAGGTAATTCTTGTAAAACATTGCATAATTCAGATTTTTTGAGCTCAGGGGCACATAGGAACCTGCCAATTCAGGTGTAGGCATTCAGCTATAGTTTGGCATAATCTCTGATATTAAGCACATTTAAGTTTTCTTAAAGTCAAAGCTTAAATGCCCATTTTTTAAAAAAGGGGGGGGGGAAGAAATGTTGAATAAGTAGATGAAGAAAGATTTTTTTTTTTTGGTAGTTTATCAAGAATAATTTTGTGTACTTCTTTTGGCATGGGGCTGAAACCCAGGGCTTCACACATGTTAATTCATTTACAACTTTATTTATTTTTTATGTCCTGCCCCTTTTATTTTTTATTTTGAGACAGTCTTGCTAAATTGCCTAGGTGGGCCTTGAACTTGGAATTCTCTTGCCTCAGCCTCCTGAGTACTAAGTTTCTTATACGTAATGGATTTGAGTCTGTGTTAAAATTTTAACACTGTCTTGGAGAATTTTTAAATTTGAGAGGAAATGTGTGGAAAGTTTTAACTTTGTCTTTAATGACAAATTTAATTGGCCAAGGAAAATGCAGCCATTTTATCATATCCCATTAGTTGAATTTTTTAAAAAACATTAGTTATACATGGACACAGTATCTTTATTTTATTTATTTATTTATTTATTTAAATATTTATTTTTTTAGTTTTAGGTGGACGCAATATTTTTATGTGGTGCTGAGAATCGAACCCAGGGTCTCATGCGTGCTAGGCGAATGGCTACTACTTGAGCCACATCCCCAGCCCCTATTTTGTTTATTTTTATGTGGTGCTGAGGATCAGACCCCGTGTCTCATGTGCGATGCAAGTGCTCTGCCACTGAGCCACAACCCTAGCCCTGAAAATTTTTAATATTGAAGAGATGCGTTTTTTATGGCTAAAGAGTATTATTGACCTTGGTAATACAAGCTTAGGTAGATACGTTTATCTTAGACTCTTAATTTATAAGATTCAATTGACTAGTTAATGAATCCTTAAATTATCAGAACTATTGGAGTTAGGTGATTTTTATCTATGTCAAGGTATACATACTTCTGGCTTTTCACTTAAGGGGTGTTCTGTAAGCTCTTAAGATTTATTTAAAAATTCTGTTAGGCACAAACTAAAGATCTAGTGATTGAGGGTTTTGTAATAAAATTTATATCCTAATATGAAGATTAATTGTACATGAATTCATATTTTGACTACTTTTTTTTTTTAAAGGAGTGTGGATGTATGGTGTCTTTAATTTTACTTTTCCTATTTCTAATAGAAAATTGTGCATCTCAAGTTACAGATCTTTGATTTTATAGGTGAAATAAAAGTTTTCTCATTTTAAGTCCTCTGGAAGCCACTGAACATTTTCTTTCCAGGTTATAATAATAGTGGCATTTTTTGACATTCCTAGATGGTTTTCCAAGAGGATAGCACAAAATTTTATGATTGATGCTTGTGTTAGATCTTAAAATTCCCAGTCCCCCCACCCCCTGCACATGGACCTATTAATCTGGTTTTGGTAGGAAACATAAATACTCCTGCTTTTCCAAAAGTCCCACTCCTTAAATCCAAAGATAATTATTATTTTTTAATTGTCTTGTTAATGCATTATAGTTATACGGAATAGAGGAGTTTGTTTTGACATAATCATATATGCATGGAATATAATTTGTTTTATTTTACTCCTCAGTGGTTCTTCTCCTCCCTCCCTCTGATAGTTTTTTTTCTCTTTCTAAATTGATAATTGATTTTAATAAAAGTTTCAGTCCAACGCTTAACATAGAGCAAGACATACTTTTGATGAACTAGGTGTTTTTTTCCTGAATGTATTAAAGTTAAGGTTCATATTTATTTTACATATCAGCTTAATCATAATGCTTAAACATTTCACTTAACGTACCAAAATTCCTTAGAATACAAGGACACCAGTGAGTTTACAGAAAGAGATTATTGAATGTGCTGTTCTCCTGTTTTTTAATGGTAGATTTGGCTGAAATACTTGATTAATGGGGGAGAAAATGTTCTGTTATTTTTTTGATTGATTTGCCTCTTTCTTTCTTCCACAGAATAATGCATATACTGCTATGTCAGACTCCTACTTACCCAGTTACTACAGCCCCTCCATTGGCTTCTCCTATTCTTTGGGTGAAGCTGCTTGGTCTACGGGGGGTGACACAGCCATGCCCTATCTAACTTCTTATGGACAGCTGAGCAACGGAGAGCCCCACTTCCTACCAGATGCAATGTTTGGGCAGCCAGGAGCCCTAGGTAGCACTCCATTTCTTGGTCAGCATGGTTTTAATTTTTTTCCTAGTGGGATCGACTTCTCAGCATGGGGAAATAACAGTTCTCAGGGACAGTCTACTCAGAGCTCTGGATATAGTAGCAATTATGCTTATGCACCTAGCTCCTTAGGTGGAGCCATGATTGATGGACAGTCAGCTTTTGCCAATGAGACCCTCAATAAGGCTCCTGGCATGAATACTATAGACCAAGGGATGGCAGCTCTGAAGCTGGGTAGCACAGAAGTTGCAAGCAGTGTTCCAAAAGTTGTAGGTTCTGCTGTTGGTAGTGGGTCAATTACTAGTAACATCGTGGCTTCCAATAGTTTGCCTCCGGCTACCATTGCTCCTCCAAAACCAGCATCTTGGGCTGATATTGCTAGCAAGCCTGCAAAACAACAACCCAAGCTGAAGACCAAGAATGGTATTGCAGGGTCAAGTCTTCCACCACCCCCAATAAAGCATAACATGGATATTGGAACTTGGGATAACAAGGGTCCTGTGGCAAAAGCCCCCTCACAGGCTTTGGTTCAGAATATAGGTCAGCCAACCCAGGGGTCTCCCCAGCCTGTAGGTCAGCAGGCTAACAATAGCCCACCAGTGGCTCAGGCATCAGTAGGGCAACAGACACAGCCATTGCCTCCACCTCCACCACAGCCTGCCCAAATCTCAGTCCAGCAACAGGCAGCTCAGCCAACCCGCTGGGTAGCACCTCGGAACCGTGGCACAGGGTTTGGTCATAATGGGGTGGATGGTAATGGAGTAGGACAGTCTCAGACTGGCTCTGGATCTACTCCTTCCGAACCTCACCCAGTGTTGGAGAAGCTGCGGTCCATTAATAATTATAACCCCAAGGATTTTGACTGGAATCTGAAACATGGCCGGGTTTTCATCATTAAAAGCTACTCTGAGGACGATATCCACCGTTCCATTAAGTATAATATCTGGTGCAGCACAGAGCATGGTAACAAGAGACTGGATGCTGCTTATCGTTCCATGAACGGGAAAGGCCCCGTTTACTTACTTTTCAGTGTCAACGGCAGTGGACACTTCTGTGGCGTTGCAGAAATGAAATCTGCTGTGGACTACAACACATGTGCAGGCGTGTGGTCCCAGGACAAATGGAAGGGTCGTTTTGATGTCAGATGGATTTTTGTGAAGGACGTTCCCAATAGTCAACTGCGACACATTCGTCTAGAGAACAACGAGAATAAACCAGTGACCAACTCTAGAGACACTCAGGAAGTGCCTCTGGAAAAGGCAAAGCAGGTGTTGAAAATCATAGCCAGCTACAAGCACACCACTTCCATTTTCGATGACTTCTCACACTATGAGAAACGCCAAGAGGAAGAAGAAAGTGTTAAAAAGGTAACCAGCTTACCATTCTTAAGATTTTTAAGGAAGGAGGAGGGACTAGAGAGAACGGGAGAGGTATTATAGTGAATGCTAATAAAAGCTCTGTAAATAACATCACTTAACAGTTCAAGGCTTTATGGAAGTATAATTGGTCTTAATATTTGAATCTTAGTGTGAAGGAAGGTGAGAACATTCATGGGAGACAAATATGGACTTAAACTGCCAAGAAATTGTACTTGTTTGATGCAGAAAGGTGAAATGCAAAGGGAATAATTGAAATGATAGAATGATGGAAATTAAAGTAGAAAGATTAAGGTTGTAATATGGGAGAGAAAAATATGGAAGTTCTCCATTGGAATTATTTTTTGGCTTGGTGGGGTTTTGTGGTTATTTTTAAGAATTGGTGTGTTACCAACCCCTGAAATCTTTTGGCTTTCCTGTGACTGTTGGCAGTGTTTTTCAGAACTTTCTTGTTCTGTTCTTTGTGATCTTCAGTGTAATCTCTGCTCTCCAGAGTGCTGGGGATCAAACCCAGGGCTTCGTGTGCTAGGCAAGTACTCAACCACTGAGCCACATCTGCAGCCATAGAAACTACTTTTTGTTATATAAAACTTGGTAAATAGATATTCAGAAAAATCTCATCTCCTGTTTCTGACTTTTTTTTGTATCTCAAGAATCACTTTTTACTGATTCCTCTGTAACGTGGGAATCTTGGGCAGAATAGAGAATGAATCCAAACTGAAGTGTTTATTTGAGAGAGTTGGTAATGCTTGTTTTATGGGTATTACTGAGTACATGTAAACTTTTGGGACCATGATTAAACAAAAAAATACTGGTTGGGCAGATTGGATATTATCTAGTACTTAGCCTTTTTGCATGGGGAGGAGGTGGTAATCAGGGATTGAACCCAGGGGCACTTAACCACTGAGCCGTATCCCCAGCCATTTCTCATTTATTTTTGAGACAGTATCTCACTAAATTGCTGAGGCTGTCCTTGAATTTGTGATCCTCCTGCCTCAGACTCACTAGTCCCTAGGATTATAGTTGTGAGCCACCATGACCGACATAGATTACTTTTTTTTTTTAATATGTATTTTTTAGTTGTAGTTGGAAACAGTATCTTTATTTTATTTATTTATTTTTATGTGGTGCCGAGGATCGAACCCAGGGCCTAGCACATGCTAGGCTCAGTGCTCTACCACTAAGCCACAATCCCAGCCCCCACATAGATACTCTTAAATGGAAGAAAATAGATGAAAAGATTATGGACAAAAGAGAACATTTTTCTTCTAGAGTCCTGGGTTGGTTAACTTTAGATATTAAAAAAAAAAATTTACTAAGCTCATGTAAAAGTATTTTCCTTAAATTTGTATGAATTCATACGGATCTTGTATAAGGTATAGGATCTGAGGCCTCATGCCTCAAGATTATAATTCCCTTGAGCAATGGGTGAAGGGCTCTTTGGTAGATATTATTTGGAGGTGCATAATTTTCAACTAAAGTAAGGATAGTTGCCATCTTGCTTTCTAGTATAAACAGATGAATAAGAAATGGAGATACACTTGTTATGACACTAAAAGCATTGGTAATGGAGTGCCAGGTTATTGAAAAGTTGATAGCAAAAACATTGTCTGATAGTCCTTTGAAGTCCTCTCTTACCCCAAAGTGGTTTTTTATTTTGAGACAGGGTCTCACTATAAGTATTAAAAAGTATCTTGTTGAGTTGCTGAGGCTGCCCTTGAACTTGGAAGATTCTGCTTTAGCCTCCTGAATTGCTGGGATTATAGGTGTGCACTACTGTGCCTGGCTCTTACCCCAAAGTTTTAATAGTTTAGAAGTTAATGTAAGGTGGGAATCATGAACTGAAATTGAATTCCATGCGAGTATGGGTTTGTTAGGATAAATCTGCTATGTATAACTATAAAGCTCATAAAAAAATATAATCTTGTAGAAAATGATAGTTTACTGATTCTGAAGGATTTTAAAGATATCTTCTCAGGCTCCTGTTTCTACAGGATAAGAAGATAGAAGGTCATGATTTTCATAGGTATCATGTAGTGGCATAGCAGATTATTATGAACATCTATGAGAGCCTTTTAGATGCTTGGTTTAACCACTTGAAAATTATACCATTTCAGGGGCTTGGGATGTGGCTCAGTGGTAGAGTGCACACCTAGTATGCATGAGGCACTGGGTTTGATCCTCAACACCACATTAAAAAAAATAAAGAGATTGTATCCACTTAAAACTTAAAAAAAAAAAAAATTAAATTTAAAAAAAAAAAAGAAAATTATACCATTTCATATTAGGAATCTTTACTTCTTGTTGGCAGAGTTCTGTCTTACTATTTTTTTTTTTTTTTTCTTCTTTGGATTAAACCCAGGGGTGCTTTACCACTGAGTTACATCCCTAGCTCTCTTTATTTTCTATTTTGAGACAGGGTCTCCTTGAGTTGCTTAGGCTGGCCTCAAACTTATGATTACTCCTGCCTCAGCCTCCCAAGTCGCTGGATGCAGGAGTGTGCCACTGTGCTTGGTTTGTCCTACCTCTTATTAAAAGCAGGAAGGCAAAGAGGAAAGTGTTATTTATTTGTTTTTAAAGGAATGCATAGTATAGATGTTAAAGGTAAGTTCTGTGTGTTATGACCCAAAGGGGAAACCTGGGTTTCAAAATGAAGTTTGGGGGGGCACCAAAAACAAACTTGGGTACTGTTAATTAATGTTGACTCTTATTTAAAAATTTTGCAGCACTAGGAATTGGATTTAGGGACCACAAGTACTCTACAACTGAACTGCAACCCCAATCCATATATTTTTTTTTAACTTTGTGGTACTGGAGATTGAACTTGGGGGGGAACCCTACACTGAGATGCATCCCCAGCACTTTTTTATCTTGAAATGGTTCAGCTAAGTTGCCCAGGCTGGCCTCAAACTTGCGGTTGCCTCAGCTTTCTGAGTACCTGGACCTTGCTACTTAGTTGATATATATATATTTTTTAATATCATTTTACTTTATTTAACTGTCATTTTCAGAGCTGCAAACAAAGTTGGAACCTGATTCAATAAGTGGTGTCATATTTAAAAGAGCCTTTCAGGTTTCTCTTCTGAAGCTATAACTTTTTATAGGATTCTATCATGGTATTTAGGCATTTCAGTTCTGTTTTCAACTTGAAATTACATTATTTCCAGTTTCTTGGTGTAAAACATCGACTATATGTCAGGTCTACTTAGTTGATATAAGGATGTGTTTGGATTAAATTCTCTAGAGTGATTCAGTGAATGATAATTGAACTTTGTAAACAGGCATGGGGCCAACCAAGTTCAGTGTTACATGCCTGTGTTCCCATCTGTTTGGGAGGCTGAAGCAGGAGGATCCTAAGTTCAAAGCTAGCCTGGGCAACTTGGTGAGGCCCTGACTCAAAAAATAAGTGCTGGGAATGAAACTCAGTAGTAGAGTACTCCTGAATCCAATCTTCATTTACCTCCCACTCCCCCTCCCCCCAAAAGTAGACATGTGTTAGAATTGACCAGCTTTTTTATGTTTTTCTGGAAGAGTTGTAATAATAAAAGTTTAAGGTCTTTATTAAAAGATAACTAATTCTTAGACCTGGGGATGTAGTTCAGGGGTAGTGTTTGCCTTAGCATGTGCCCTGCCTGGGTTCAAGGGGGAAAAAAGAACTTTTGGGGTGTGTTGGGGGTGTTTTTTTTATGGGTCTGTTATTAATAGTTCTTCAAAAACATTTAATAAAGACTGTTGATCATTGAATATCTCAATTGCTCTTGGGCTGGTAAATAAACCACCAAACAAAAAATTAAATTTTTTATACTCATGTCAGATTATGTTTTAGTTTACTTTCTGTAAGAAGAGCTGCTGGGGTTTCAGGAAGGTGCTTATGATTGCTTCTAAGCCCAGTTACCATTTCATTCAGTATTGCCTTACTTCTCTTATTGGTTACTAGTATCCTTAACATTCTTACATAGCTGTTCTTAGATTCTTTAATTAGGCTTCTAAGAACAAATTTCATAAGAATGGAACTTAGCTTAATGAGGCATTAAACTCATAGATAGGGTGTTTGTATGTACACCTTTGTATTATTTACAAGTGTGCAAAAAAGGTATTCATGACAAATAGGAACAGTAGCTCAACCATAAGTAGTGAAGAAATTAAACTTGATCCTGATGATGATGTCACAGTTGTCTAAAATTCTGTGATTGAATTGCTTAGGCTGGACTAATTCTATGATTGGACTGGTGTTTTGCCAAAACAAACTGAAGCAGTCAGAACCACAGCCATTTTAATCTATTATTACTGACTTATTTTGTCATATAATCTAATTCAGTGGTATAGAGGCTTCAAGCATTGGATCTGTCTGGCTTGATATTTCCAGTGAATTTCAGTGACATTTTTGATAGTTATTTATTTGGTATTGTATACCACAGAAACTGTTTTGTAACCTGCTTTCTGTATTTTTAAAGAACATTTTCCTAATTTTTTTTCTTACGTTATTGATGGACCTTTGTTCTCTTATTTATATGCTGTGCTGAGAATAAACCCAGTGCCTCATACTTTAAGCAACGCTAGCCTCTCTTAATTGTTAAATATGATTTTGTGACATCACTTTTGATGACCTCATAGTGTCCTGTCATAGATTTGCTGTAATTTACCGGTCCCTATAGTTGAATGCCAGTAATTCATATTTTGTAATTTTTATAACTTTTTTTTGGTACGAGGGGTTGAACCTTGGTGCACTTAACCCCTTAGCCGCATCACCAGCTCTTTTTTTGTTTTGATACGTGGTCTCACTAAGTTGTTCAGAGCCTTGCTAAATTGCTGAGGCTGGCTTTCAACTCCTGATCCTCCTGTCTCAACTTCCGGAGTTGCAGGTATACACTGTGCAGGGCTTTTCTTTATAACCTTTTCCAGATAAAATAATACAGTGAGTATCTTTCTGTGTTAAAATTATTTTTTTTTTAGGCTAGGTCCAAGGGTGTATGCTTTTTGGAGGTCTTGGCTGTCATATATTGGTATATGGGTCTTTTTGTTCTTACCAAATTTGTTGTTGTTGTTGAGGAAATTGGTGGGAAGCTATTATCCAGAAGACAATAGTAAGAATGTTTTGCGTGTCATGCAGTGATTTGGGAGGCTGAGAGAGGAGGATTACAATTTGGAGACCAATCAGCAATTTAGCAAACCTCTAAGTTAAGACCCTGTCTTAAAATAAAAAGGGCTGGTTATGTCACTCAGTGATTAAGCACCCCTGGCTTAAATCTCTGGTACAAAACCTTCTCTTTTGACTATTCTTTTTTTCTTCTTTTTTTTTTTTTTTTTTGGGTACTGGAGATTGAACCCAGAGGTGCTTAACTACTGAGCCACATCCCTGGACCTTTTTTAAAAATATTTTATTAGAGACAGGGTCTCGCTAAGTTGCTGAGGCTGTCTTTGAACTTGTAATCCTCCTGCCTTAGTCTCCCAAGCCACTGGGATTATAGGTGTGGACCACCGCACTCTGCTCTTTTGACTAACTTTGGGATAGTCTGCCAGCAAGAGAGACTTATTCTGTCCATTAGTGATGGCTTTTTAGAAACATCAGAAGTTGATTTAATTTACGTTTTATATTTCTAGCCCTCTACAGGTTAAGAATAAGGGAAGTACTCTAGTAGAGGGAGGTAGTAGAGACTACTTCTGTTAAAGCCTCCTAGCATAACGTTAGACTTAGGTATATAAGTTATTTTTTGAATGACTGAAAAAGCAATTTGGTTATGACAGCAACAGCTTGAAGTTTATAGTATTTAAAATGTCATGTTTTATTAAGTGGAAATGGAAGAATTTCCTTAAGACCTAGAATTATTCCTATTTTCAAGACCTAAAAATGGTGACTTGGGAGTGATTTCAAATATATTTAATTCTTAAACAGTCTAATAAAACGCAAGATGGAGCTATTTAACTTTTCTTTGAACATCTTTGCTGGGACCTAGATACTGCAGAGAAATGAAGAATGTATTGTCAGGGAACCTTATGTTATTAGTGGTGGATAATAGTACAAAATATAAAGTTGTTTTTTTTTTTTTTTAAGATTTTACCTGAAGTGCCAGTATGGAAGCTTGAAGGAGGTTGGTTGCCTAACCCAGAATGGAGTATAGGTAAATTAGTCATAGAACAATCTTAGAAGTGGCCTCAGAATGTGTCAACTATTGATAGCTACAGGTATTTTGTAAAGAGTGAATATGGGTGCGGAACAACCCAAATCTGTAACAGTGTACAGATGATACTTGGAACAGAAAATAGTTTATAGTTTAAGAACAAGTTTAATAGTGGCATTGTGGAATGGGTATACCAAAGGAAAGTTTGGAGGTCAGATTAGGAAAAAAAGATGGTGAATGAAATATTCGTGCAGCTAGTTTGATACTGAAATCTGTCGATAGGTACAAAGTTGGTTTTTAAAAAACTATGGGGCTGGGGTTGTGGCTCAGCAGTAGAGCGCTAACCTAGCACGTGTGGGGTGCTGGGTTCGATCCTCAGCACCACATAAAAATAAAATAAAGATATTGGGTCCAACTACCAACTAAAACAATATTTTTTTAAAAAAATTAACGAAAAAGCTAGAGGGGGAAGGACAGGAGTAAAGTATAATTTGAGTCAGGATGGAGGAATTTCTAGATGTAACCTTTAAAGGAAGGAAGGCAAGGAAAGCTTGTAGAAGTAGAGGTGAACCAACATGAATATATAAATATATAATAATAACTTCAGTGAATACACAACACACTTCTTACCACATTGTTTTATAAATGTCTGTTTCTCATAATAATATGTCTTATGAAGGGCCGGGTTTTTGGTTAAAAAAGATATGATGGGAATAGGATAGATATTTGTTTTTGCAATATTGGGGATTGAACCCAGGGCCCCCTGCATACTAGGCACGTACTCTTACCACTGAGCTACACCCTAGCACTGGAGACTGACTGAGCTCAAACTCCTAAGGTATGTGGGTCACCACACCCTACTCTTTAAATTTTTCTAATAAGCAAGTCTTTAGTGCAATTTAGATGACCATTTTTTAATTAATAATTGTATAGTGAACGCCTTAAAAAATTACGCACATGCCAAATCTGTAGTTGAATTCACTGGGCATCAACTGATCTTTTCTTTCATCATGTTCTGCTGGGGATTGAACCCTGGGCCCTCACACATGGTAGGCAAGCACTCTAACTTTGAACTAAACCCTCAGGCCCTTATTTCTTTACTATATTTAATATACCTACTTAGGTCAGAAATTATAGAAAGGAACCAATAACTTTTTTGGGGTGGGTGTGGGTACTTGACTACTGAGCCATATCCCCAGCCCTATTTTGTATTTTATTTAGAGACAGGATTTCACTGAGTTGCTTAGTGCCTCACTTTTGATAAGGCTGACTTTGAAAGCGATCGTCCTGCCTCAGCCTCCCAGCCACTGGGATTACAGGCATGTGCCATTGCACCCAGTGGAAATGATAACTTCTTAAAAGACCTGTTTAGCTTGGTGTGGTGGCGCATGCCTGTAATCCCAGAGGCCTCGAAATCTGAGGCAGGAAGATAACAAGTTTGAAGCCATCCTCAGCAATTTAGCAAGGTCCTTAGGGACTCAGACACTGTCTCAAAAAGGCCTGGGGACAGTGGGGTGCTATTGGCGCATAACTGTAATCCCAGTGGCTCAGGAAGCTGTGACAGGAGGATTAGGAGTTCAAAGCCAGCCTCAGCAATGATGAGGCAATAAATAACTCAGTGAGACTCTCTCATAAAATATTAAAAGGGGCTGGGGATGTGGCTTAGTGGTTGAGTGCCCCCTGAGTTTAATCTCTGATACCAAAAAAAAAAAAAAAAAAAGCCTGGGGACACAGCTCAGTGGTTAAGTGCTCCAGGGTTTTTAGGCTCTGGTATAAAAAAAATAAGATTAAAAATATCTTTTTAATACTGTCCTTTCCTCTTAATGAATTTCCTGTCATCTTGAGTCAGCTAAGCTTTGTTCATTCTTGGTTTCTGATCTGGACTGCCTCATGTATGAATCCCCTCTGTAGCATAACTATTGAAACTTTTTTAGTCTCTACTAGAAACTTTTTCTCTGCAAACACTGGGGAATGAACCCAGTGGCATTCTTCCACTAAGCTACAGCCTTAGCCTTTATTTATTTATTGAAACAGGGCCTCACTAAGTGCTTAGGCTGACCTCGAGCTTGCAATCCTCCTGCCTCAGCCTCCCAACTATTCTAGGATTGCAGGTGTGTGCCACCACTCCTAGCCCCGCCACTGTTTTATTAATTAATTAATTAATTTGTGCGCTTGGGGATTTAACCCAGGAATGCTTTACCGCTGAATTACATCCCAGCACTGTTTTAAATTGCCTCTTGAGAACTTGAGTAGGCATCCTGTTCTTTTCATGTGTTTATAGTTTGTTCATTTGGTGTTTTTGTTTTTTACACTGTTAGGGATCAAACATGAGCATGAGGGCTGGGGATGTGGCTCAAGCAGTAGCACGCTCACCTGGCATGCGTGCGGCCCGGGTTCGATTCTCAGCACCACATACAAACAAAGATGTTGTGTCCGCCAAATACTAAAAAATAAATGTTGAAATTCTCTCTCTCTACCTCTCTCTCACTCTCTCTTAAAAAAAAAAAAAAAAAAAAAAAAAAAAACATGAGCATGAGTCCTACCACTGAACCATACCCCAGCTCTGTATTTTTGTTTTTAAATGATATGTAGCAATTATACATACTTATGGGGGCTTCTGTTTTAATTAGAATGGTAAACTGAGCATTTTTTGTAAAATTCTGAGGCTCTGCTGCTGGTTTGTAGATAAACTTGTGTCCCTGATAAAAGGGTTGAGGAAATTCTTTGATTTCCTCATCATCTTTCTTTTTTGATGGATAAAATGGTTTTCTCTGCAGCCTCCTTAAATAAAGACTACAAGACAATAGATGATGTTGAATTTGAATCTTGTAGAACCATGCCCTTTGTATCCATCTTTCCACAAGTGTTTGTATTAATTGCTAGGATAGAAGAGATAAACAAGGCATCCTCTTTGCCTTAGGAGCAGGCAAATATTAAGACCAATGAAATGGATAAAATATGACATAAGAGCTGTAATAGGAGAATGAAGAGATTTTTGACTTTGTGGAGGAGAGTGATAAATTTGGGGGGAAGTTAAGATTTACAGAGGAGGTCATGCAGAATAAGTAATAATAAGAGTAAAAAGCACTCAGGTAGTAGCACAGTGCTGGGCACATTGTGCACACAAAAGTTATTTTGGGACTAGGGGTGTAGTTCTGGTAGAGTACATGGCACAAGGCACTTGATTTAATTCCTGACACTAAGTAAACCGGAACCAGAAATTTAGTTTTTTTTTTAATCTAATACTATCATTCTCTGATTTCTGATGAAGGAGAATCAGAAGTTATTTATTTAATATCTCATAGCTAGCTAGACTAAGTTTTCAGTGATGTTTTAGAATTGGATGGTTGCAAGCTAGCTGTTTAGCTTTCAAGAATTTTAGGAGGGCTGGGGATGTGGCTCAAGTGGTAGCGCGCTCACCTGGCATGCGGGCGGCCCGGGTTCGATCCTCAGCACCACATACAAAGATGTTGTGTCCGCCGAAAACTAAAAAAAAATAAATATTAAAAAAAAATTCTCTCTCTCTCTCTCTCTCTCTCTCTTTAAAAAAAAAAAACTTAGGAGCTGGTTCAAAGTATAGTCATAAGTAAATAAGTTATAATTAAGTACATTGTATTGAAAGGAATTTAATACATTTCTGTATGTTAAATTACATTATAAGTTTGTAATATTCAGTTCACAGTTAAATTACATAAAATTAAGTATCATTGCATTAGAAAGGAAAAAATATTCACCAAGGTGGGGGGTGATCCCAGTAAAGGCAGGCTTAGGCAGGAGAAGGGCAAGTTGGAGACCAGTTTGGGTAGCTTTGCAAGACCCTGTCTCAAATAAAATGAAAAGGACTGGGAATATCGGGATGTAACTCAGTTGTAAAGTGCTTACCTATGAGGCCTTGAGTTCAATCCCCAGTACTGCACATTCCGCCCCCCCCCCCCCAAAAAAAAAAAGGTGGAGTGCAGGATGGAGAAAATGTTAATGCAGATTATTTAAGTCTGTAATTATTACATTTTTTCTGAACAAAAATTTGCTAGGCAAGTGCTTTACTACTGAGCTAGAGTTATATCCATGGTCTTCTTGCCCCTCCCCCCTCAATTTTGAGATAGGGTCTTGCTAAATTGCTGAGGCTGGCTTTGAATTTGTGATCTTCCTATCTCAGTCTTCTGGGATTATAGGGGTGTGTGTGACACAATACCTGAGAAGGCCTGTCTTCTTAAAAAAAAAAAAAAAGTAATGGTCAGGTGTAAGTGTATCTGTAATCACAGTGGCTTTGGAGGCTGAGACAGGAGGATTGAGAGTTTAAAGTCAGACACAGCAGCAGATTAGCGAGGCCCTAAAGTGTTAAAAAAAAAAAGGGGGGGGTGTGTGGTGGCTGGGGTTGTGGCTCAGTGGTAGAAACCTCACCTAGCCCATGTAGGTGCTGGGTTTGATCCTCAGCCTAGCCCATGTGAGGTGCCAGGTTTGATCCTCAGCACCACATAATAGTAAATAAAATAAAAAGGTATTTTGTCAAATTATAACTAAGAAAAATATATTTAAAAAAAATGGCTGGGGATGTGGCACTGTGGTTAAGCGTCCCAGATTTAATCCCTGGTACTAAAAATATATATATAATAATAGTAATTTGAGGAACTACTCTTACAGCATTTGGGAAATCATTTTCCATTTTAATAGAAGGTACTCAAAAGATTGAATTAAGAGCCGAGTGTGGTGGTGCACACGGTGTAATCCCAGCAGCTGGGGAGGCTGAAGCAGGAGGATTGTGACTTCAAAGCCAGCCTCAGCAAAAGCAAGGTGCTAAGCAACTCAGTGAGACCCTGTCTCTAAATAAAATACAAAATAGGGCTGGGGATATGTGTAGTTCAGTGGTTCAGTGCTTCTGAGTTCAATCTCTGGTACCAAAAGAAAAACGGGGGTGGGGGTGGCTTGGAATGTTGCTCAGTGGTAGAGTACCTCTGGGTTCCATCAGTACCCAAAAAAGAAAAAAAAATAGTCTTATAAAT